CTGTGTGTGTGTTTGAGAGAGAGAGAGAGAGAGAGAGAGAGAGAGAGAGAGAGAGAGAGAGAGAGAGAGAGAGAGAGAGAGAGAGATTGTGCATGCGTGTGGTTGTATATAAAAACACATATACATATATGCATATGTTTCTACGTGCAGGCACGCAGTCAGCACTGTTCATCATCATCAAGTGCTTTGCCAGCTGGCACAGGCGTTCAAACATCTCCCCAGATCTCGGTCTTTTCTTTTGTGTTCTGGATAAAATCCACCGATGATATTCTTCTATACCACTGTCGTTAAGCCACCCACCTTCATTTCTCTTGGTCTGCCTCTGCCTTTTCTACCAGTGATTTGTCCAGTCGTTAGGATATTTCTAAGTGCTCCTTTTTTCATAACATAACCAAAGAACTTTGTCTTCTTCTCATTGTTCAGACCTTCTTCTTCTTCGGCATTCCGAGTCCTTGAGGTTCATTGCTGCAGATATTACCCGCCTCCGCTCATCTCTCTGGTTGGCCTTCTTTTTTTTTTTTTGAGTTAGTAACACCGGGTGTTTGCAGGTCTCTCTGGACATTATCTCTCCATAGTTTTCTTCGTCTGCCTCATGGTATACGACCATTCATGTCCCTCGAGTATACAGTTTTTACCTATCATCTGACATTCTCACAATATTTCCAAGCTATTTCAACCTATTATCTCTCAAGATGCCAATGATCAATGGTGATTGTTACAGATTATGAATTTCGTTGTTGCTGCTCACTCTCCATTTCACGCTGCTTACATCTTTGATAGGTCCAAAGATCCGTCGTAAGACTGTTTTCGAAAACCTGTAGTAAGGCTTCAACTCTTTTAGTTGTGCTCGAAGTTTCAGAGCCATATAAAACGACTGGTCTTATCAACGTTTTATAAATTTTGATCTTGGTGTTGCAAGACAGAAACTTTGACTTAGCACAAGTTGAAGGGCATATTTTACTATCTTTCCAGATTGTATTCTAGATTGCATTTCTTCTCTCAGCATGTTGGAGCAGTTGAAGTTTGCACCCAAGTACTGAAATGTTTCCGTTCGTTTGATTTACACATTATCCACTTGTCAGTCGGCCTCTGCCTTGTTTTATGGAAATTGCACTCTCCTTGACCATTCTCTCCAGACCACAGTGACGCTTAAAGCTGCCAAAATGTCCCAGCTTCCGGTACAGGATGCACCTAAACAGCATAGCTGGATTGAAGTAGCTGGACTCTATAAGTACACCATTGCAAGCACGAATTTCAAAATGGATGAAATTATTCATAATTCTTTCTATTCTTCTTCTGCCTTTCCATAAAAAATGCCGTTAGCACGTTGTGTTGTGTGGTTTACATCTAAGCTGTTATATCTGCGCGTAAAGCTAGAACGTGATATCAGCGTTTAAAGTTAAGCTATGACATATGCGCCTTTTCGCCCAACACATTTAGGAATTTTAGAGTATGATTATTAAAGGCAGTGTGTTAAACCCCCCCCCCCCCCCATTTATTAAGGGCAGTGTGTTTAACCCCACCCCCCACCCCCATTTATTAAGGGATGTGTGTTAACGCTCCCCCCGCCCCCTATGAGGTCCAGGGACCCACACGCAGATTTCATATTTCAAAGTGTTATATACAAATATTGATCCCTGATCTCGTCATTGTGGTCTTTCCTCAGAGATCACATGGTGCAGTCCTCAGCTGAAAGAAGGCAAGCATGGTGATATTATCAAAGGTAGGTTGGGTTGCATAAAGCAGGTCATCATCATCATCATCATCATTATTATCATCATGATCACCATCATTATCATCATCGCCAGCATCACCACCATTATCCTCATCATCATCATCATCATCATCATCATTATCATCATCATAATCACCATCATTATCATCATTATCATCATCATTATCATCATCATAATCACCATCATTATCATCATCATCAGCATCATTATCATCATCATTATCATCATTATCATCATCTCCATCATTATCATCACCATCATTATCATCATCAACATCACTATCATCATCATCATCATTATCACCATCATATCCATCGAAGGCCCTGCCTATTATTGGTATGCTTAGTTTGTAAATAAGATTTAATCATTATCACCATCATCGTCATCACCATCATCATAGCTCTCAGTGTCATTATTATTATCGTCATCATCATTTTCATCATCATGGTCATTATCAGTTCAACTCAGTTTGTGAAAAACATTTTATTATTATCATCACCATCCTTGTCATTTTCAACGTCATCATAACCATCATCGTAGTCATTGTCTACATCATCATCGTTGTTTTCCTCATCATCATTGTCGTCATTGCCATTATCATCATCTTCACTATCACCACCGTCATCATTACCCTCATCAATAGTCGCCATCATTATATACCCTAACTGGCGTAGTCTTTCATCTCTCTCCACATATTTCAGACCTTGGGGTTCTGGATCAATTCTGTTGACGATATTCATCAGTACCATCATCTTAGACCATCCAACGTTTCTGTAGATTCCCCCCTGCCCTGGGAACAAGTAACAGAATCAGTAGAGAAAGAAGATTATTATGGCATGGAGAGAATGAGGCACCTGGGTGTAACCAAAGGGTCTGGCCCGCTCACTACACTCAGAGGAAAGGCAAGACGGACATATAACCTAATTGTGACCGGTACCATCAGTAATGGAACTCTACGCTGGCTGCTAAAGATGAGGACGGTGCATGCATGGGATTGCCGCCAGTGTTATGATGTCAATTCTTGACTCAACCCAACTCAACTCAACCCCCTGCCTATTCTACCACGTATCCAGTCAATGCAGTGTTCTCAAATGACTCTCTCCTCACAAGACTAGAGGAACTGGCTATCTTCCGGGGACTATAACGCCGCCGCCGAATTGCGAGCTATCTCCACCGCCGAGAGTATCCCCCACGCTGGGGCTAAACTAGATAGCTAGGACTCAGGAGCAAATAAAATGAAGGCAGCTGCAGGAAATGCGGTAGCTGCTGCTTGTGAGTCCCAGCCATCTAGTTTAGCCCCATCCACGCCTCTTGAGCGGCGTGGGGGATACCCTCGTCAATGGCGTGAGTCACCGGAAGTGCGCAATTTAAGTCGCCGGAAGTGTGCAGTTGACACGTGACTGAGGCCCTGTTGGGGTATATTTTCTGCCTCGATAATTTGGGACCGATATTCGGAAGATAGCCAAGGAACTTATTTTACCCCTTTCTAATAATTACATGTGTGTTCTCTCTTTCTGATTTATTGTATCTGGGCTGCTACTCACAGATTTAAGCAGCCTGAGATTTCACAAATATTATCCTAGATGGTAAGCCAACAGGGTAAATCCTCGATACCTTGTTGAACCCCTAAATAAATTATAGATGGAGTACCTGTAATGCAGTCGGCGTCTGTAGCTTGGGCATTGCGAATGCACTTCGTAATGGCAGGGTGCTGGGTTCGATCCCAGCTGCAGACGGGTTGTCTTGCTTTGGTTTCGACAGTGGTATCCAGAGCCGACATTCCAGAAAGCAATGACAAACTACTAGACATAAATTTGCCTAAAAAACACACAACATCAAAAAATGCTGGGGTTGCTTCTGCAAGGTCCTGAAAAGGATACGCAACTGACTAACTGACCTGTAATGCTACATCAGCTGCATTTTTACATGCGAGTACAGATTTAAGTTTAAGACGTCTGTTAGCTTTTTCTAGGTATTTGTTATTAGTTTTATCTCTTTTTTTTTTCTTATTCTCTTCTCCATTTGCCTCGCGATCTGAAAATCACGGGTTCTGTTTACAATTGCATCGTTCGTTTCAAGACTACTTGTAATCATCGCTGTTCTGCAGAGAGAGACCATGCCAAATGAGATAAAACTGAATTTAAGTAAGTCGATCTTCTCGACTTTAACTCAGTTTATTCTCTTCTCATCGGAGTGGGAAATATTGATCATCTGTGTGTTCTTTCCCAATACATTGCATAAGATAATCTTCATTTCTTGAAATTCCCGTGTAGTTTCTGGGGGCCCCATTGTGGGGAAAAAAGGGGGGGGGGGGCAGTTCCATGCCAGACCAAAAGCATGTCGTAAGATTAGACTTATTGGGAGTTTCCTTCGAAGTTAAAAGTTGAAGTGCATCTGCCTGAGAGGCCAGAAATCAGCAATCTGCATACAAATTACCTTACAAGCAACACTCAGTTCTGGAACAAGTTTAAAGTCCAGAGGCAATGAATAACCAGAACTTTCCATTCAAGTTTACAGCCGGTAAACACGAAGAAGAAGAAGATTTCGTTAAAATTGTCATCTGTGCTGTTACTCCATCTTTTGCATGGCTTTCCTTTAAAATATCGGGGGGGGGGGGGGGGGGGGGGGGGGGGGGGGGGGGGAAATTGCATTTGAAAAATATTAAAAGAAAATTTTGCTTGTGAACCAATATAATAATAATAATAATAATAATAATAATAATAATAATAATAATTTGATGTCCCTGCATATTATGAGACCCAAAGCTGTAGCTTATTTAGCTCTTACCTAACACCAGCGCTGAAGCTAGCCATTGAAACTATACAAGAATCTTCCTCTTCTTCTGCCTTTCTAATCCCCACTGGATCATAGGCTTTCAACCAACTCATGCCAAGTTGTTCTATCCTTTGTTGTTGTCTGCAGCTCTTCACATGTCCTCCCCATCATTCTAACTTCACTCTCTGGCTAACTTCTCTATGTGTTTTTATGTCTTGCTTTATTTCTCTGCCCCTTGTGGGTTCCAGTGCAAAGGCATTCTAGTTTCCTTTTGACCTTTCCATGGTTGGTTGGTTTTTGTGGCTATTGTTTTTACAGGATGAGGAAGCCAACATCAAGCCCAACCCAACCCTTAGTCGCCTCTAAGGTCATGCCTGGTAGGGGGGTATTGTTACTATTCTTTTCTTCTTGTGAGGGCTCCAGTAACACACAGATATCTACAAGAATATTTAGCACTTAATTATTCCATTATACCTTGTTTTGTCACAGGGAGATTATGTCTGGATAGAGCCAGAGAAGCCTGGGGAGTTTGCTGTGTCAATTGGTGCAAAAGTATCTGCGTCTGCTACTGGACAGATTTGTTTGATTGATGATGATGGACATGAACACTGGATGGATGGATCCAGAAAACTTCGGCACATGCACATCACATCTGTGGATGGTGTGGAGGATATGATCGGCTTGGGTGACCTCAACGAGTCGGGTATCTTGAGGAATCTGTTCATTCGTTACATGCAACATCAGATATATGTGAGTGATTTTTCTGTGTGAACCATATTTGTGTTGTACAGAGGTGACACATTTTTGTTGTTTACATACATGTCTGTTGCCAACAACATATAAAATGACTTCAGGAAAATTCTATCACTCTCTTCTTCTTCCTCCTCTTTTCTTCTTCTTCTGCATTCAATCATAAAAGGGCAGTTGACGTGTTTTGTTTTGGTTTACAGCTAGGCTGCAACATATATTCTTTTCATCCCAACCCATCTGATTTCAACACAACCTTTATTAGTCACCTTCTATGGCTTAGGCATTGTGAATGTGCTTCATAATGCTGAGGTTGTCACATACCGCTTCTGTCACGTGTCTGATTTAAGGATTTCTTCTTAAGAACCAACAGCACTCTGAAATAATAATGTTCAGTCGTTGGCTTGTATTGGTCTAAGGGATATCCCGTGGCCAATAAACGCTCAACTTATTTCAGGAGTAGGGCAACTCAAGCTTTGGCACTACAAAATATATAATATTCCTAGGCTGGACACCCCCACTACTACAAAAAGGTAGCCCTCAGATTATGATAGTATACTATCATAGCCATGTTAACACAGATTACACTTATTACTCACACAAACATAAAAGCTAGACAGTTAGAATGGTGAAACAGGGACACCCAAGTCAGCCATGAAAATTTATGCATGTAAGTTCAATATATACACATATATAAATGAATAGATAATCAAGAGTGTTCAGTGAATGGAGTTCAGGAATTAATGACACAACCCAGATGTTGAAGCAGCCAGATGTAGTTCCTGGATATTACATGAGTTCATCCTTGGAATCAAAAGGGGGCTGTGGGAAGAGAGCATGTATATGATGAAGAGATCACTTATCCCAGTTCGTAGGTCACTGCTCCCCTCAGTCCATGGTGATTCGACTGTGGTTGACCCAATGGATAGCTGTGCCTCGGTTTGATCTGGTCCACGCTGACTGTCTCACAGATTAGGACACAGGAACTGCATAGGAGCCCAACAAAGTTCTTGAAGACTGATTCTCTGGATTGATGACATAGGTGTCTGCAATTGTCCACTAGTCCTGGAACTCACAAACAAGCTCCTGCCATGTTGAGGTATTGGCAACATTAGGTAGGACTTTTGGGTATTCTTGGTGCCCAGAATGGTATGGGTTGGTGGTTGTTGGCTGGACTGTGATTTGTCTGCCTGATCTCTAAGGAGGTATCATCCTGTTAGGAAAGAACTCAGAATTAGTAATCATCATTATTCACACACCAGCTCACCCCACACTCTGCTACCCTTCTCCATTCCTCAGAGTGTACTCTCAAAAACAGGAGACAATGTCTCCTTTCATTTATCTGTCCGTAAATTTGTACACCAGATAGAAGACAAGGTATATAGTGAAGATTGATAGACAATACCACACATAGATCATCCTCTCTCTACCCTCACATCTGCGCTCGCAGCCATACAATGTATCCCGTTAGTATCTATATATATATTTCACGTCTCCACAGGCTGCTCACTACACACCCACTGTTTCCGTGCCAAACACACCTTTGACTCAGAGCGTCTAGCTCTGACGTCACAGTATCTAGCTGGTTAGAGACGACCCAGATTCCATGTTTCTGCTATTAGGCACAAAACTTTGTTTGTCTGGTCAGAGAATAATTATTTGTAGGGTTTAATATCTTTACAAATGGTGTGGGTTATGTAGAGCACAAACTATTTAGTCTGCACAGGAAAAGGTTTAATGTTCGGAGCCTGATATCTGGACATCAAGAACGGGCCAACTCCGTGCGATCACACAGCTGAATCTTCCCTCTCTGCAGCAGTGGCCAACTTTAAAAAGACATATATTATGGTACTCGTAAACTATAATCAACTTACCCAAGCTTAGGAATTCTTCAAAGATAAAACTCGTACTATGCGCCAACATTATTCATAGACTGTATACACGTCTTGACACTTTGGAGATCAGGCTAAAGAATGCCGCTCAAAACCAAGCTTGGCGTCTCTAGGAAAGAAGTCCCTGTATTTATGCCCAAGTAGTAAACAGGCTTACAGGAATTTCTGAATTAAACACCAGAAATACTCAGCCAACAGTTGCAAGTTTGAAAATTTAGACTTCTCAAAGCAACTAGAGAGTCTAGAAATGATTATTTCACCAGATAGAGGTATATATCAATATAAGGGACTATATACCCCTCCGGACGGGTTTAAGTTTGAAATGTGACGTGCCCGCTCAGAGAAGTCAGCGTCACGACTCGTCCATCGTGTAGTGTTGGCTGTTCACTCCACGACAGAGGTGTCAGGTTCGATCTCATTTGCAGGCAATTTGACAGCTGACCATTCAAAAGCAATGGCAGACTGCTGAATGTAAAATTGCCTAGTCAAAAAGAAATGCTGGGGTTGGTTCTCCAATGACCTGTGAAGGACATTCAACTAACTGACTTTTTGACATGCTTGTGAAGGGGCAATGGGTCACCCCCACTCACCAAACAGGCCCCCATGATCCACACTGGGAGTTAGCATTTCTGTTTCTCCCAAGACCATAATCAAATATTCTCATTGTCTCCCATATAGTAAAGTAAAGGACTCTTTTCCACACCTTTAGGCATACAGGGCTGGACCTATATTTTATAGACCAATCGGCACAAGATGGGTGATGTGGTCAGCATCACGCCGGTCGCCTTTACTTCCTGGGACTGCACCCGGTACCCACTCAAGGCTGGGTTGACCTGGGAGCCAAGGTGATTTTTTAAAATGGAGCGAACCCACGACCTTCTGATCCGTGGCGAGCGTCTAGTCGCTCCCCATGGTGACTCTCTTGTTTCCCCTATGATTTAAGCAAAATCCCAAATTAGTCTTTTGAGGTCTGAGGAATCGAACAACGGATCAACAACATGCCCCACGAGTGTAAGCCATAAGTGCTTAGTTCTTCTTCCAACTCAAGACCGAGTCGGAAGAAGCTTCGCACAGTGCACAGGCTCTGTAGCCCTGGCGAGGTTCCTGAAATACTTTGGGTAGATTTTAAATTTCAAATTTTGCCTGGGCAGCGCCGTTAGGCTACCCTTTTAGATTTACAACTGACAAGGGATTTTTTTTACGTGCGCAACAATACACATAGGCGTCCAATCTCACTATTCAGAAACCAGGGAGAATTACTAGAATTCCAAGTCCATGCAAAAAATCCCTGCACTTACCGGGAATCGAACTCGCAACCTCTAGCACTTGAGGCAGACACCATGCCTCGAGACCAAGCAGCCCTTCCTAAATTTGTCACCTCTTACTATATGTTTGTTAAGGGCAGAGGGTCAGTTCCTTTTCTTCCGAGAAATCCGTGACTTGAGATCCACAGAGGCAATCATGTTTGAATACCACAGTAAATATCATGCTCATAGCCCTTAGACTGTGGTATGAGAGTTGCACCATGGAGAAGACTGGGGTCTCACCATGTAATATTTCCTTAGTTAACAATGGATACACTACAGCCTACCTCTGTTATGTATGCTCCATGCAGAGTGGCAAGCATCGTTTCAGAGGTCCTGGGTAGTTAGCCTCCTTTGGATATTTTCTCCAGTATATTGGTGTTTAGGACCAAAGCCTAAAGGGTCATCATCATCATCATCATCATCCCGTAACACTACGTGTCGTTGGGTCACCAGTTTCTGTTGACTGATCAGCTCTCTCCACCTTTGGCGGTCAATTGCCATGGACTTCATGGCTGCATGCATAAGGCCTGTTCAGTCAGTCAGGTTCTGAAGGGTAGACTTTCATATAAGTTGTTAAATGCTCCTAAAAGACCTGTAATCTATGCCAGAAATACAATACAATAATATAGAGCACTATTTACTGGGGCATAGAAAATATAAAAACCAAAGAAAACCATAAACTGACTACATAATTATCTGTAAATTATCTAAGACGATGGAAAACTTGCTCCACATAAACAGCCCCAGAGAGCTGCATGGCAAGGTCAAGCAGTGTATTACTAGAACTAAAATCAGTATTTAGAAGGGTAAAGAATACTCATGGCATCTTTGAAGAAGTTTCCCCTGAAGATAAAATCGAGAATAATCACTAACTGAAAACTAAGGAAACAATATATCCACCATGTCAATGACATAATGTTAGTAAGATCGTCTTACTATAATAGTATGATTTCTGTCATAATGACATCCGAAATCAAAGTAAAATGTGAAACAGTACAAATTACATTCCGGTCATGTAAATAATTACATTATGTATACATTTAAAATAACAAATATATACTCTGAGAACTCATTAACACTATGTATCCCATTTATAACCCTGAGGAATAAACATGATATTTTTTATTAAATTACTACTTACTACTTACTAGAGGTCCTGGGTAGTTAGCTTCCTTTAGATATTTTTTTGTCGATATGCCAGCATGCTGTGAAATGAACAGGCAGATAGATTGACTGATTATGCATTGCTTGGTAGTAAACTGATGCATGACAGGTTACATATTGTAAGGACCCTGTGGGAATGAGAGAACAGTGCTAAAGCACAAATAATTCATCACAATCTTAAGAGAGTTGTGCTCCTAGGAGTGACCAGGAGACATACAAACAGACTGTTACAACTACTTTTGGAACTGGAACTCTGTGCTTGCTGCTGAGGATGGGGACTGAGTACTTATGGGAATGTCCCAAGTACTAATATGTCAGTTCTCAACTCAAAACACATAACATCACCTAGGCTTCTATATTCTTGCAGGAAGAATATTTAACTTGTTTTGCCTGGAAACATTTTGTGATTTGTCTGATAGAGTGTGATTTATGTATTTCACATCATGTAGGTGGCTGCATATATGGATCTGTAACCACCATTTATTTTTACAGACTTACACAGGATCGATCCTAGTGGCAGTAAATCCTTATGAAGTTCTCCCCATCTACACACCTGAGCAGATCCAGCTTTACAGGGATAAGAAAATTGGAGAGTTACCTCCCCATATCTTTGCCATAGCAGACAACTCTTATGGTAGCATGAGGCGATACCAGCATGACCAGTGTGTTATTATCAGGTATGACTCTCATGTATTTATCACGGTGTTTTGGAAGGTTATTTTTTTTATATCACAGCTATAGCTGATAATTCTTCTAAAACCTTTAGGACAGGGCTATTCAACTGGTTTCCGGTTTGGGTTAAGATGTTGGGATATGTTTCTCTCAAGCTTGGCTTAAGACTGTTGATCGACGACCCAAAAGAACTGCCATTGTAAAACATCCTTTGTTTTAGAATTTGATTTGCAGCTCTAAATGTTATGATGCTTAAATCAAACTTGCTAAATTCCAAGCAATTTAATAAGAAAGCACCACTGGAACTACATCAGACATGCACTCAGAATGGCTAAAACAAGACTCCCCTACCAAGCCACCTTTGGATTCTGCATCATGATATTGCTCCTGCTCAATTGTATGTCCTAACAAATTAATTTTGTGTGTGAAAAATTATCATTCAAATGCTTGCACCCCTGTCGTACTCCCCTCTAGCAGTGTGCGAAGGTCAGGTGACTGGAGATCGACCAATCAGGAGTGAGCTATGTGTGTACCGTGGGGAGATTATTGTACATCATACCCAGTTTCTTAATATAGGGTGTACCACATTCTGTCATTTCTACATATTTCTTCTTTATGTTCATCAACTGTAAACTCTGGTGGAAAGTTCTGGTTGTTCCATGCGACTTTTTCTTGTTCCCACAACTGAAGAAGGTAATAAAAAATCCAATAATTTTATAACATTGAATAGATTCAAGTCAAAACGATGGGGCAACTGAGGGCTATCATATAAAGTGCTTACCAGAGTCATGATCTCTTGTTGTATTTCTCTGTTGCCATACATTGTATTTCCAGCTCACAGTGTTATTAGTTTTACCATTTAAATTTGTATCTCTGACAGTGGAGAATCTGGGGCAGGGAAAACAGAAAGTACCAAGCTGATACTCCAGTTTCTGGCAGCAATATCTGGCCAGCATTCTTGGATAGAGCAGCAGATACTGGAGGCAAATCCGATCATGGAAGGTATATGGTTGTATATGATATGGTTTCATAGCTTTATTTTGTGTAAATCAGAAGTTACAGTTTTAAAAACCTGAAATAAATAGTCATTTATTGATGAGATTATAGAAACAATATTTTAGTTCATTCTTTTTTTAAATCTAACCTCGTTAACTCACTTGAACAGACATGACTTTCATTATCATCATGATGTGTCATATTAATCTATGTAGACAATAATAACTTGTCATCTCATACCACCTTCGCAATGACAGACCAGGTCTGTGTTCCTGTGAATCAGTTGTCTCTGGCCAAGCTTTTCTGGTATTTATCTCTTTGTTTTCCTCCTTGCTGTTATCTCTTCAAGTTTGCTTATGGTATTAAATTTTTAAGTTTTGTTTCTTCTCATAATATTGTGCATCGAATCTGGGTGGTCCGCATCTAATTTCTTTAATTTGTTTACAGTTTTTCACCTGTTTCTTGGAAGTATACCTATTTGTCTTCTGTACATTCATGATATTCTTGCATTTCCCTCAGAAACCACATTTCTTCATCTATTAAAATTTATTATTTTGGCTGCTAATTAGCAATTTTCCCAGTACAGGTTCTGTATTTACACTTTTACAGGCATTTTCTCTCTGCAAATCATAGAATTTTATTGTCAAGTATGTATTCCATCTTATAAAAATGCCACTTTTGTTGTGGTAAGGCATGTTTTGATTTCTACAAGGAATGTTGTGTCAGGCATTGTGAGTATTCCCAGAGACTTGTACTGATTTATTTGTTGGTTATAAATAAGTTGATAAGCCAGATATTGTCAGCAGGAATAATCCTTATAGTGTACAATTGCAGCTGAAAGTGAAAACAGAGTTTTTTTTTTTTACAAACTTTGTCCAAAGACAAATACAATCTCAAATGTTGAAAATATTGGAGCTTTGTGCACATTTGTGAGTACAAGTCTGAAGTTCTGGCATTATTGGAGCTTCCCACAAACTTGAGTACAGTCTTTAATTCTGAAATTATTGGAGCTTTGCACAAAGGTGAGAATGGTCTCCAATTCTGAAATGTGTTGAGTTCCCACAAACTTGAGTACAGTCTCTTATTTTGAAATAATTGGAGGTTTGCACAAAGGTAAGTACAGTCTCAAATTCTTAAATGACTGGAGCTTTCCACAAACATGAGTATGGTCTCAGATTCTGAAATTATTGCAGCTTTGCACAATGGCGAGTACGGTTTAGAATTCTGAAATTTTTGGAGCTTCCCACATACTTTTCATGCAAACACGAGTAGGGTCTCAAATTCTGAAATTATTGGAATTGTTCACATACACATGTAAACTATTAATTGTGATACTATACTATAACAGTATTCTATACAGGACTGCCAGTTATAAGTTTTCATAAAATTAGACATTATTCCATGCAAATTGGGGATTTAACATTTTTGTATTTTGTACTTACAGCTTTTGGAAATGCCAAAACAATCAGAAATGACAACTCAAGCCGCTTTGGCAAGTACATTGACATTCACTTCAATGAGAATGGAGTGATAGAGGGGGCAAAAGTAGAGCAGTATTTGCTGGAGAAATCTCGTATTGTGAGCCAGATGCATGACGAAAGGAACTACCACATCTTCTACTGTATGCTAGCTGGCATGTCACAGGAAGAAAAGGTCAGACTGGAGCTCATGGATGCCATCTATTATGCATATTTAATACAGGTCAGTGTGGTAGGTTTAGAATGTCAGTTATTAGTCTTATTTGTGTACAGGTTAGTACTTCTTGTCTTGATCCCACAGTGTAGCATAGGCCCTTAATCAACTCATGCCCAGTCATCCTGTTGCATGCAGCTCATCACTTGTCCTCCCCATCTTTGTAACATTACTCTCTATTTTCTCTATCTCCCGTCTCTATGTGTTTTACATCTCCCCGTATTTGTGTACCCCTGTGGGTTCCAGTGCAAATACAGTTTAGTTGTATTGTTCTCAGGTTTCTTCAGCATATGTCCTATCTAATGCCAACGTCTTTTTTTCACCTCTTAATTCACCAGAATTTGTTCAGTTCTTTCCCAGAGTTCAACTTTAGTGATCCTATTATTTCAATTAATTCCTCTCTTGTCTGTGTAAGAACCAGTTACAAATGTTTATAGTTTAATAGTAGTTTTGCTTATACTACATTTTTCCGCTCAATTTAACAGCACTGATTTGATTTTAGAACTAAACATTTTATGTTTAGTATTAGTTTTTAATTTTCTTTGACTTCCACAAATTTCCTAATAGTATGAAAGCTCCTCTTGCCTTTTGCATTCCTGTTTTAATGACGTTATCAGTTCCCCAATCTCTATCTACATTCAGCCCAAGTAGGTACTAATAATAATCTACTTTCTTTTTCTTCTTCTTTTTCTTATGTAAAAAGTGGCTTGCCAAATGGTTAAAAACACTAGGTTCCTTTTCAGGAGACCCAGGTTTAAATTCTTAGTTCCCGCCACCCCCCCCCCCCCTCCCGTGTGGGTTCTGGGGCCGCATTGTGGGGAAAACAAGAATAGACCCACTGCCTCCCCAAAAGTATGTCATAAGAGTCGACTAATTGGGGAGCTTCCTTTGAAGTCGGAGTGCATCTGCCGGAGAGGCAAGGAACCAACAGTCTGTATTCAAGAGAATGAGATCTGTAAAACTGATGCACATGCAACACTCAGGTTCTGGAGCAGGACTGCTGTTCAGTAATGGACGAGCAACCAGAACTTTCCCCCAGAGTGTACAGCTGGTTGTTGTTGTTGTTGTTATCGATCCAGCGGCGCATGAGCTTTCGCCCTTTGGCCCAATGCCATGTAGTGGAATTTGCATGTTTTCACAAGCTGTTCTTTTCCTCCGTACAAGGTGTTCCACTTGTCTGGTCTCTGAGGGAGTAGCGTTCTTCTTGTCTCACTGAGTTTTGGGCACTCAAAGAGATGGTGTTCAACAGTTTCGTAGGGGTAGTTACATAGCTGGCACTCTGGGGAGTGTTGTGGCTGTATTCTGTTTAGGTGTCCATTGAGTGGAGTATGTTGCGTTCTAAGTCTGAAGATGGTGGCCTGGTCCCTTCTTGTTAGATGGTTAATGCTGTCATTAGGATCAGGGCCAGACATATGTCTATAAACCTCTCTTCCAGTGTCTCCCATGGCCCATCTGTTCAACCAAGTCTCTTTGTTTATAGCTCTTATCAGTGTTTTTGCTGTCTGGAGGGTTGTCGCTGTAGGTGGTTGTTCTTGTGTGTGCTCCTTTCTTTGCCAATCTGTCAGCTCTGTCATTACCTGGTGTGCCGGAGTGACCTGGAATCCACTGCATCACTATTCTGATGTTGTATGAGGTAATAAGCTGATCGGCATCCAGGATTATCTTGGCTATGTCAGTTCTGCAGCGTTCATTGCCCTCCAGAGCTTGAAGGGCAGACATTGAATCTGTGAAGATGACAATATTTTGGACCTTTGAGGGGTAAACATCCATTACAGTCTTTAGGTGGTATACTGCTGTTTCCAGTGCAATTATTTCAGCTTCATAGTTTGAACAGAATTCCCCGCATGCATCAAAAATCTCTTCAACAGATCCATCGGGATAACCTATGTAGATTCCGTAACCTGCTTTAATGGTAGCTTTAAATGCTGATCCATCAGTATAGACATGTATCCATTCTTGGGGGTAAGAATCAACGGTCTTTAGTGATGAGTTCATAAGAGCGATTGGGTCGGACTGTTTGGTTTTCCTCGCCTACCAATTTAGTTTGGACTTCTGGAGCTTTAAAGCGAGCATGTGGTGGTAGGTTTTTTGCAACATTCTGAATTCCTTGACGTCTTTCTGGGAGGTGGTATCTGTCCTGAATTTCATTAACACAGTGTAAAACCGATTTGTGCTTTATTCTTTGTTTGGATTCCCAGTTTTCTACAAGATGTCTATTAGGATGGTTACGATTTTTCCTAACTCATCTTTCATAAATTTCTAAAGTGGCTTTTTTCTCTCCGCAACCCGAGGGGTTTCCACATTTGTATGGATTTCACATGCAGCAGTTGGTGTAGACTGCATAGCTCCGCAGATTAATCGGAGGGCATTATTTTGTACTCTGTCAAGAGTCTCTAGGTTAGTTTTGGAACAAGTTGTAAGCAGTGAGTTGTTGTACTCTATCACAGAGCGAACATATCCTAGGTATAAGCCCCTCAGAGTTTCCTTGTCTGATCCCCATTATGTACCTGCAAGTCTCTTTAATAACTGTAACCGCCTCAATGCCTTATTCCTGATGTTTTCAATATGGTTCTTGAGGCTGAGCTGCGGGTCAAGTGTGACTCCAAGGTATGTGGGATGCTCTTCTTTCATCACTTGGTGTTTGTCTAACCTCAGGTTAATATTCTTCCTTGCTACTTGGTGGCTTTTGGTAAAGATTGTGTAGACGTCTTTGCACAGTTAATCTTGAGTTTCCATCTTTGGCAGTAATCATGCAGTCTTCTAAGGTCTCCATTCAGTCTTTGGGCTCCACTTTCCACATTTTCATGACTCTGCCATATTGCTAGGTCATCAGCGTACAAGGCTTTTTCGGCCTTGATTTGTTCTTGCAGGTCATTGATAAAGATTAGGAATAGTGTACAGCTCAATGATGAGCCTTGTGGCAAGCCCTCCTCCAAGACTTCTTTAGAAGAGATTGCGTTGTGCATCTTAGTCTGGATTGTTCTATCTATCAGGAAGTATTTCACCCAGTTATACAATCTGCCATGTATTCCTATGCTCATCATCTTCATCAGGAGACCTTTTCTCCATACTTTGTCATAGGCCTGCTGGAGGTCGACAAAGACTGCCACTGTGTGTTTCTTATTCTGGAAGCCATCATGTATTCTTTGTGTCAGTCTGAACAGCTGGTCTTCTGTGCAGCTGTTGGTTCTGAAGCCTGCCTGTTCATGGCATAGAACACCAGAACTCTCAAGGAACCAATATAAGCGCCTGTTTATCATTCTTTCTGCAACTTTGCCCAAGCATGATGTTAAGGATATCGGGCGGTAGCTTTTGGGGTCATCTGGAGGCTGGTGAACGCAAAGAAGAAGAAGAATTCTTAGTAAGGTGATGAATGTTGTTCTGTTGGAGCAAAATTACAATCCTAACCTGCACAGTCCTTGGCAACTGCACTAGCCATGCAGCTCTAAATACTCAGTCTATAGACACCCCCCCCCCCCCCCCCTCTCCCCATCTCCCATCCTACATCACCCTAAAAGATAGCAAATTCAGGCGATTTTTCCTTCTGTCTTTTATCCCTAGATGGAGCTAAACATAGGCAATAAGTGAATTCCCACAAAGTCCTTTTTTTTTCTGTTAGCTTGTTCATGATCTCTTACATCTGCGTTCCCTGACAAATATGAAAATGAGATTAGTTGGCCTTGACCTAATCAGAGACCAACCACTGTCTTTGAGCCCAGCCCATCTGGATTTTTCTAAGCAATAATTGCTGATTCACAGAGAAGTCATGCCTAAGGGAAAGTCAGTATCTCTGAGCAATACTTGATGTTTCATACAGAAGTCATGCCTATGTGAAATTCAGTATCTCTGAGCAATACTTGATGTTTCACAGAAAAGGCATGCCTATGTAAAAGTCAGTGTTTCTGAGCAGTACTTGATGATTTCCAGAGAAGGCGTGCATATGTAAAAGACTGCATCTATGAGAAATACTTGATAATTCATTAAGAAAGCATGCCTATCTTAAATTCCATGTCTTGGCAATACTTGATGATTCTGGGAGAAGGCAAGACTATGTGAAAGTCAGTGTCTCTGAGTAATAACTTCATTTTTAATGAGAAGACAGTGTGTCGAACCAAGCTTTTGCATTAGTTACTGATTAAAAAATATAAATATGTCAGGTCTTGGATGTGTCTGAGCTATTGAAAAAAACATTGGTTGCCACTACCTGTTTTCTGAATATTGGGTGGATCAGACCAAACCTTACATCCCACAGCCACTGGCTTTGAGTGAAGGAACACATTGGGGAGGATACTAACTTTACCTTAGGATGAGGAAATGCTACCTGAAAATGTAATGTTATGGCAGGAAAGACAAGGTCCTTAACCTTGGGTGGCAGTAGGTCTAGGAGGAAAGCTCTGGGAGGCAAACATGCAGACCACTGTACTTCAGTCTGACAGATTCTCCAGCAGGCTTTGTTCCAGATGTGTTAGTGTTATATATCTTTCTTAAGGTAACAAAGCAGGCAGAGCGAGGGATCATGCTGCATGGGCAACACATGGTCTCTACAAAAATGTACAGGGTAGACCAGGCCTTAGCTTTGGTTGGCAGCTGGTCAAGGAGGAAAGCTCCGACTTCTGTCTGGCAGCTTCTGTGGCATGCTTCTTTCAAACATATTGATGTTACCATTTGTTCAGTGTCAACAAAGCAGTTTAAGTCGTGGTTGGTGCGTATTGTTAGCACACGATCTCTTCAGTTCTAACCAGGCATTGTGTTATGGAGAGCAGGAACTTCATCCCTGGTAATAATTAGAGTCATCATGGGCCATGATTCCCCTGACTATTCATAGCACAGTTGAAGATTGTCTAGAAGCAGGGAAAGATACCAGTTAAAAACAAACAACAAAGTAGAACAAGATTAACAAAGGGATCCATACAGGTTTTCCACTAATATCATTTTAATCATAATGTTTTTTTGTTTCAGGGGGGAAGCATAGGATGTGAGAGCAGAAATGACAGAACTGACTTTCTGGTGATTCGCTCAGCCATGAAGGTTCTCATGTTTGATGACAGTGATATCTGGGAAATTATGAAAATTCTGGCAGTGCTGCTACATCTTGGCAATGTGAAATTTAACGGTTAGTTATAATAATTGTGTGAAAAAATAATTGATGTGTGTTTTTGCAGGAAACTGGTTGGAACAGAAAGCTGTTTGAGTCTAGTTAGATAAAACAAGCATTCATTAGAGCTTACATTTTTATTGACATCCCTCTCCTACACTGGTCATCTAAATAGCTGAGTTGAGTTAAACTAAGAACTGACATCACAGAACATAGGACATTCCCATAAGCAGTGTGTTCCCATATTCAGCAGTCAGTTCAGAGTTCTATTTTTAATGGTACCTGTCGTGGATTGTATGTTGGTCTCCTCTGAGTAGTAAGTATTTACCAGATCCCCTGGTCACTCATTGATGTACCATTCTTTTGAGACAGTGGTGGTCTGTCTGGGCTGCTGCACTGTTCACTTTATGCTAGAAGGTCTTGACAGTGTCTAGCCTGGTCATGTTCAATCCCAGCAAATTGCTGCCTGCTTTAACAAGAGCAGTTGCTACTTGAGTCTAGTTAATGTTGCATCTTAGATTATTCAAACAATAACCTCAAAGGGGCAGAAGAAATCTCCTTCTCTTATTGTGAACGGTTTAGTCGTTCCCTCTTTTCTCGTCTTCTCACCGCTCGCTTGTGTGATTATTTTCACATTCTGCTACCTGTGCGATGGTTCAGGAGTATGGAAACAGCAATATTTTTCTATTCCTATGCTCCTTGTGGGAGCCAAGAACGTAGAAAAATACCAGTTTCAATAGCCAAGAAACATTTGTGCCTGCAGCACTCCCCTGCAGTACTTCTTACTTGTTCACAGGTGCCTGTGGCGCCTGAAATAGACTCACAACAACACAACCTCCCACAAACATTACACACGCCGAGCGAAGGCCAAACCAAGTCATATTGTAATACTCCTGTAACTTAGGAGTGGTCCAGCGACCTAAGGAGGCAGAGAGGCAAGGGAAGTTACTCTAATCCCGAGCCTTGAAATGTGAACAGGTCCGATGATTGCTTTCAGACTGACAATCTCATCTCATAGAAAACTCAACATGCAATATCCAACCCATCAAGGAGCCATCTTAGTTTAGTGGCTGGGTGTTCACCTGGTGTAGTGGCTGGCCTAAAGGTAAAGAGTTCAAATGCTCATCAAGGCACATTTTGTCTTTCCAAAACTGTCCTTGAATCGCTTGTTGGCCCAGCCTAATATGCTTACCAAGAAATGTCCAGGGAAGTAAAAGTGGCCAGTGTGATGTGGACACATCACCCATGAAGAACCAGTTGTTCTATAAAAAATGTAGGCCGAGCAAAGATATGAAAAGGATCCTTCCTACTTTGGATATTCAGCCAACTGTCTACAAGTCAACAAAACAACTTGGTGGGAGTTGGTTGGGAGATGAGAGGCAGAAGAAAAATACACACAAATGCATACACATCTGTACACACATACACACATAAGGAGAGAGTGGAGAGAGAGAGAAGAAGCAGTAGAGGGTATTTTGTGTGTGTACCAAATATTCAACAACAACAAAATACACTCACTTGATTCACACACACAAACACACATAGAGAAACCTACAGACATGCACAAGAGAGAGAGAGAGAGAGAGAGAGAGAGAGAGAGAGAGAGAGAGAGAGAGAGAGAGAGAGAGAGAGTAAAAGAGAAGCAGTAGGTATGTATGTGTAAGAAATACTCAAAGACCTATTGCTCATATATTTCCTCTCCATCCAAGAAGGCCCAGAAAATCCATTAGAAAAAAGAAACATATAATGTCCACATTTTGTCTTCTCATTAGCACTGGAGGTGGATCATCTGGAAGCCACAGAAATAGTGGACATTTCTTACATTAACAAGGTGGCCAGGCAGTTTGAGGTGAGGTTTGAACACTGGAGCTAGAATTGTACATGATTAATTTCATTTTGCTGTGTATGTATATCTGTACATATGCTTATATGTTTATGTATGTGTCAGTTCATATGTTTAAAAGTAAAGGTTCCTTTCTAAGCCTTTCGTTGCTTAATGCAGCAAAGCTTGGCATATGATATCAATACATCTATCTAGTCTGAGAATGGAGGTCGAGGCATTCACTAATGTCTTCCCCTGGACTAAGAATCAGCTGTACACACATGTTGTAATTGTAAGGGACTCATAGAGTATGTTGAGAAAGGTGGAGACAGGCATGCTCTGTGCAGAGTGGCAAACATTGCTTTAGAGGTCCTGGGTAGTTAGTGTCCTTTAGATATTTTCTCCATGTTATGCTGGTGTGTTGGGAAATGAGCAGGCAGATAGACTAGCCAGTTCTGCATCACTTGGAGGTGAATTTATGTATGACAAGCTAGATGTTGTAAGGGCCCTTTAAGAGCAAGTGAACAGTGCAGAGGCACACATAGATTCTCTACAGAATGAGGAGAATGGTGCTGCAAGGAGTTACCAGGGGATAGTGCACAAATAGTGCAACTTTGCTGGAAGCAGGTGCAACACAGTTATGTTACGTTACTTGGACAAATGAACAGAGGAAGAACAAGCCTGGTGAAGCACCTTTGTTTATCTTTCAGGTTAAGATAGAAGTCATTGAAGCCAACTTCTCATGGGTACAATCAGTAGATGTGCCTTGAAATAGCTGCTGAATTGGAGGATTGAGCATGCATGGGAATGCCACATATGCAGTGACATTGACTCTAATAACATAACAAGCTGTTCCAGTTTTTCTCTTTTCTTAAGGTGACTAAAAATGATGATTGCCTCTGCAATTTTTGCAGTGATTTTGTTTTTCTGCCTTAAAAATCATATATTTATATATATATATATATATAAAATATTTCCCTTTCCACTTCCTCTCCCCAGGTAAACGCACAGTTCTTGGTTGATGCCCTCACTTCAAAGACACTCATAACAAGAGGGGAGAAAGTCAACTTCCCAATGAACAAAGAACAGTCGCACGATGTTCGAGATGCATTTGTGAAAGGAATCTATGGCCGCATGTTTGTCTGGATTGTTGAGAAAATCAATGCAGCCATCTATAGACCTAAAGGAAATCAGTATCGGAAGTCTATTGGCGTCCTGGATATATTTGGATTTGAGAACTTTGATCACAACAGGTTAGAGTTTCTTAACATTATGATATTTATTTTTATTTTTAATAAAAGTGCACAAACATAGTCATTTGTACACTAATTTTTTAGATATAAATGTTTCCTTGTTGATGTTTTCAGTGGTGTATGTGGCTTAAGCGTTGCAAGTCCGACTTGTAATTCCAACATACCGCGATCAAAACCCACTGCTTGCTGCGTGGATTTTTGTCATGGTATGGGGCATCGCCGGTCAACCATGATGACTGTCCTGGGGAAGTAAAGACGGCCGGCGTAATGCTGACCACATTACCCACCCAGTGCAGATTGGTCTGTAAAAATATGGGACGCTCTTCCCATATGCCCGATGTGCCTAAGGCATGAAAAGGGATCTTTACTTTTACTTATCTTTATTGTTGATGTTTTCAAGCTGGTTAACTTGCGCTCTAAAGATCATGGGTTCATTTCACAGATGAATTGTTCAGTTTACAAGTGCTGTTTTATGGAGATCCTTGGGAATTGTTACTGGAGCTATAGAGTTTATGCCCTATGTGATGCTGTTGACAAACAGCTAGCTGTTCTGCAGAGAGAGAGAGAGAGAGAGAGAGACAGAGAGAGAGAGAGGGAGAGACTGAGCCTTGTGAGACAAAAACAGGTGCAGTTAAGTCAGTCATTTTAATAATTTATATTTGACTGAATGACTGACTTTCTACCCCACCAGGACATCACACAAGCGATAAACACCCAATAACACTAAGTGCCACCATGTGGATGAGGATCGCCGTGGAGAGGTCCCAGAAACCGCGTTCAGACAATTGGCCATATTTATGACCTGCCTATATTGCGGCCCCTGGCAAAAGCAAGAGTGGGCCTTCAAATAACAAAAAATAACGTCCTAAAAAGGACGTAAAGGAAAACGCTCTTAATCTATATTTAAAATTATTTTTCATTTTTATATATTATATCCTCCACCATAATGATATCCTGTCAGTAATTTTCAATAATGGTAATCAATTGATTATCTGTAACTGAATTTTTAAGTTCTCAGTCATTATGATCATTTTATGCCAGTGTTTTCCGTCCTGTTTTATGCCATGTCCCGCCTGAGCCTTTCTAAAATGCTGATGCACCCCTATGTAACTCAAACTCTGGAAGAGTCCATTTTTGAATTGCCCCCCTTAATAATCAAATTGTCCCCCTTAACATTCAAATTGCCCTCCTGTTTGGCATTGACCCCACATTAGGAAACTCTGGTTTATGTTATAAGTCTGTGCTAAAACTCAGTTTTAGTCTGAAGCAGGTAATCTCAGCCTAAAAATAAGTGCCAGGAAAATCATGGTTAATAAAGAAAGCTGGTGTTTTGCCTGAATCACTTACTGTGTGCTGCTGGGTCTATACAAATTTAAGTCTATCATTGTGAAACTGATTTTCAAGTGCTATGAGAAAGAGCTTTTACTACCTTTTCCTAATCTACAGCTTTGAACAGCTGTGCATCAACTATGCCAATGAGAATCTCCAGCAGTTCTTTGTGAGACACATCTTCAAGCTGGAGCAGGCTGAGTACAACCTGGAGGGGATCAACTGGCGTCATATTGAATTCGTAGATAACCAGGACTCCCTGGACCTGATTGCAGCCAAGTCCATGAACATCCTGGCACTTATCGATGAGGAGAGCATGTTTCCCAAGGTTAGATTCTTCATCCATGTCTTTTGTTGATCATTTCTGATACAAATGTTCTTCCATACCATGTGACATTGGTAGTCATTTATCATTCACAGTTTTGTGTACTGTTGATAATTTCTGATACAATTGTTCTTCCATGCCATGTGACATTGGTAATCTTTTCTTACTCACAGTTGTGTGCACTTTTGATCATTTCTGATACAACTGACAGTTCAGAGTTTGACGTGTGGCCTTATAAGGAGGATAGGCATGACATAATGTTTGTCTTCAGGGTTGTTCTTCTGACAAGGCTTTGCTAACTCAGTTTTCACATAAGGACTGAAGTCTACACTTTTGCTGCCTAAGCTGCTGAGTTAAGTGCTTGGCACAATACTGTGAGCTGTGTGTTACATTTCATTTGTGCAGCAGATGTGTCATGGTATTCAGTATGGTTTACATGTTGGCTGGTGAAATACCTTATGCAATAATGTATGGCCAATTTATTGTGACTGACTACTTCCATCAATGACAGACTGTATTTCTCATGGTGACTGTTGGTTTTGGCCCCTCTAGCAACTGCCTTATGCATTTACTGCATGTCTATATTTCTGGATTGTGCAGGGACCAATTGTTCACCAGCTTTTCATATAGAACATGTGAGTTTCACTGGCACAGGAACAGAACATGTATGGGGTGACCTGATTGCATAGAAGTTGAAACCTTGACTACTATGACTGATACAGTTGTTTTTCCATGCCGTGTGACATTGTTAATCATTTCTCTTTCCCAGTCTCGTGTACTATTTATTGATCAGGAGAAGAATGAGTCGGTAGGAATGAAAACCGTATGAAATGAATATGACTGACTGAATATTGAATGAGTGTATGTAATTTTTTATATGAAGTTTTAGACCTTCACATATACTAGGCTGCAGCTTGCATAGTTGTGGACAATCACAAAGCTAGACTGCAGATGTAAAATACAACAAATAACTGTGACTAGAAGGTGCCAGAAAGGGAATGGAAAAGATGCAAACAAATACAACTGAGCATTTTAACTAAAGTCTTCGACTACTTAAGCTGAGTGTTGAAACTTCCATACGGGTCTTCAGGCTTCATAACCTGGCATCTCTCCTTGGCATTCTTAGGGCACAGATGCAAGTATGTTGAACAAGCTACACCAGTTTCATAGCGGTCATCAGAACTATGTGAAGCCAAAGTCAGCTGTCAGTCACATGTTTGGACTCAACCACTTTGCAGGGGTGGTCTTCTATGATTGCAGAGGTAAGAAAGCTTTTTGTTGGTTAGTTCATAGGAGCTGGCCGAATGGTTAAGAATGCAGGGATTTATTGCAGGAGACTTGTTTTAAATCCTCAGAAAGGTTCAGGATTTTTGTCTGTCTGGGGTACAAATAAAATCCTTACCTACACAGTCTGTGCTGACAGTACTAACCATGCAGCACTAAATCCTCACCTACACAGTCTGTGCTGACAGTACTAACCATGCAGCACTAAATCCTCACCTACACAGTCTGTGCTGACAGTACTAACCATGCAGCACTAAATCCTCATCTACACAGTCTGTGCTGACAGTACTAACCATGCAGCACTAAATCCTCACCTACACAGTCTGTGCTGACAGTACTAACCATGCAGCACTAAATCCTCACCTACACAGTCTGTGCTGACAGAACTAGCCATGCAGCACTAAATCCTCACCTGCACAGTCTGTGCTGACAGTACTAACCATGCAGCACTAAATCCTCACCTGCACAGTCTGTGCTGACAGTACTAACCATGCAGCACTAAATCCTCACCTACACAGTCTGTGCTGACAGAACTAGCCATGCAGCACTAAATCCTCACCTACACAGTCTGTGCTGACAGTACTAACCATGCAGCACTAAATCCTCACCTACACAGTCTGTGCTGACAGTACTAACCATGCAGCACTAAATCCTCACCTGCACAGTCTGTGCTGACAGTACTAACCATGCAGCACTAAATCCTCACCTACACAGTCTGTGCTGATAATTGTGGAGATTCATGATCGCCCAGGCTGGTTGGCAAGGCACTTAATGATTATGTAGGTGAGATGGGAATAAGTGGGCAGATAGGTTGGCTGGACTGGCTTTACTTGAGGGTGTACTGCAACTGCACAAGGCAGAGGTGATCTCTTACCTTTAGGACAAGGTAACAAATGCAATGGAAGATATTGAAACCCCATGCCTGGAAAGAGTGATGCAGCTGGGAGTGGGCACCATTCGAGACTCTGGGGAAAGGCAATGTGCGTAGTTAACCAGATGACAATCTTTACAGTCAGTATAGAGACTCATAATGGGCTGATGAGCGTTTAGCACGTCAGGGTATGAATATCTTCTTCTTCTTCTTCTCTTCCACCATTTACCTCAGCGAGGTGTTGGGGGAGATGTAAGGATCGTTTGTGCACTTTTTTCAATGCATTGTACAAGCTGGTGTTAATTTATTTTAGGTTGCTGCTGATGATATCGCTCTATCTCTTGCGTGGTCTTCCCCATGCTCTGTGTTCTTTATATTTCTTCAGCGTGGCTCTCTGTGGCAGTTGGTACCATGGCATTCTCGTCTGGTGGCCAAACCATCGCATTTGTTGTTCTTTAATGAACTGTCTTACTGGTTTCAGTCCTAGTCTTCTCCTAATTTCTTCATTCCTGATTTATCTCTTCTTGTCACACCGTCAGCTATCCTAAGACATCTAATCTCTGTTGTTACGATCTTCCCCTCATTAGTTGTAGTAAGGCTCCATGTTTGGCACTGGTAGCACAATATTGGCATGAATATAGTTGCTATAAATAGCACTTAGGGGTTTCCTTTTGAATAAAATGGCTTTTTTAAAGCCAAGTTGACATCATTAAATCCCCTTAGTTTCAATGATAGAGGCCACAGGGTCACAGCGTGAGTCATCCGATAATATTTTGTAGACCCAATAATTCTTCATGCTGTTCATGTTTATTGATTACTCCCATTAAAAATCTTTATATTTTTTGAGAAACAAAATTGAAGATAAATTAGTTTTTGTAAGAACTATTTTTTAGTGACCCCTGTACAATTTTTAATTTTTTTTAAAAGAAATTATTTTTTTCAGGTATTCCAACATAGTCTTGACCCAGTTTGTTAAGGATTTCCAAGGCAAATGAGTTAAGGTCTCAATTGTACCTCTTTTGAGTTGTGGGTTCCAAAGTAGTAGTAACTGAAACAATTATATCCTTTTCAACCCATGTGGCTTATAATTTACACATATATATGCATCCATATATATATATATATATGTGTGTGTGTGTGTGTGTGTGTGTGTGTGTGGTGTGTGTGTGTGTGTGTGCGTATGTGTGTGCGTGCATGAATGTGTGCGTGCGTGTGTGTGTGTGTTTGTTTTTTTTTTTTTTTTTTTTTTTTTTTTAAATTTTGACTGTTGGATTGTTATGCTTGTCACTTATTTTCCAGTTATTTAATATTTCATGAATTATGTATTAATTGTAAAGGTTGTAGAAGCAAAGATTATTAAGTTTAATACATTTAAGTGTATCTTAAAATTATGATCATTTTATTGTATTTTATATATATATATATATGTGTGTGTAAATGTGTATATATATATATATATATATATATATATATATAATATATATATATATATATATATATATATATATATACACACACATACACACATACATATATATGTGTTTATATATATATATATGTATGTACACACACACACACACACATATATATATATATATATATTATATATATATATATATATATATATATATATATATATATATATATATATATATATATATATATATATATATATATATATATATATATATATATATATATATATGTATATGTATATGTATAAATGTATATATATGTGTGTGTATTATATATATATATATATATATATATATATATATATATATATATATATATAATATATATATATATATATATATATATATATATATATATATATATATATACACTTTTATAGTTCTTTAGTGCTTTATTTTTTGTATGTTTTACAAATGGCTGGGAGGCCTAAACCTGAATTTTATTTTGTTCATTATCCCACCACTTTTTTCAGACTGTACTATTAGATCAATCTTTCTTATTTTCAGGGTTTTTAGAGAAGAATCGTGACACTTTCAGTGCTGACTTGATTGCGCTGATCCAAGCCTCTAAGAACAAGTTTCTCAAGCAGTTATTCTTAAACGACATCTCACTGGTATGTTATTGCACATGCAAAATTGGTTAAGCTACTTTTTTCCAAAACTATTTTGCTTCTTCTTCATCTTATACATTCATCCCTAAATTGTTATATCTTTGTCGTCCCCCTTTTGGGATGCAATTTTTCGTTGTTTTGAAGCCCCACCCTGACTGTTGCCAGGGGCCGCAATATAACCTAACGGTTAAATGCTGTTTCCAGGACCTCTTCATGGGTGATCTTCATCCGCATGGTGGCACTTTGTGTCACTGGGTGTTTATCGCTTGTGTGATGTCCTGGTGGGGCAAAATTTACTTACTTACTTATCCCTAAAAGAGTGGCTGGTACATTGGATTATTAAGTTCAGCTAAGCTGTGAAATCTTTGTCTTTTGGTTTAAAAGATCTGATTTCTTCTGTCTTCTTCTTATAGTCCATACTGCAGGGTGTGGGTAGTCATGTCTATCCACAACCTTCTGTATACTTTCAATCAATTCTGACACAAATGATCCTCCATGCCATGATGTCAAACTGTCCAGCATCTTCTGTTTAGGTCTTTGTCTGCCTCTCCTCCCCTCCAGCTGTCCCACTGTCATGATATACACCAGTTTTCTCCTTCTCATGACATAACGAAATAGTGTAGATTGCCTCCTTTAAATGTGTCCAATCAGTTCTCTTCATGAGTCAGTTTCTGTCAAGACATCTTCATTACTCTTTTTATCTGTCCAGGGTGTTCTTATCATGTCTCCATAAAAACTACATCTCCGCCGCTTCAAAATAAATTTCAACTAACCATCCAACTGTCCATGATTCACTTCCTTATATCAGGAAAGGAAAGTTTCAGCAAAGCCTTAATTAGTGGTTTTTAATGTCATGCTTGTGAGAAAGGGAGCATTGGCTCTATTCCCCCCCCCTCCCACTTTTTCCACCGGCACCCCATAGGGACCCAGGAATGCACACATGGGTATTTTGCTTTATATCCATACATATGTCTGTATGATCAGAAAACTCTTTTGATTGTATGTCAGGATTGTTTGCTGAACTTTTTTTCCCCACCTCCAACCAAAGCATCATGTGAGATCAGATAGTATCCATGTGTACCAAACAACGAATAATGTGATTTGATGTTTAGCCTGAGCATACTATAGAAATCTGGTTTATTATTTGTTAAACAACTGTTAAAATATGTTGCTGTATCAGTTACGTTTATGCCCTGATTTTGTTTGTATTCATTACGACAATTTTCAATCTTGACTGTTTATGCTTATTTCCTTTAAACAGTTTGAGGTTTAAAAAAAATATATTTCTTAAAGGATCGGGATTTTGTTTTTCTGCTTGTCGGTGTTATACCTTGCATTTTTTTAAGAAACTTAAAAAGCCATTATATGTAACTTTAATACATACCTTATACAGCGATTAGATATAACTCAAATATATTCTATACATTCAGCCACTTGATGTTACTCAAATCTATATTTTAAACAGTCATTAGATGTAACTCAAAATATGTGATATGTACAGCCAATTGATGTAACTCAAATCTATATTTTAAACAGTCATTAGATGTAACTCAAATATGTGATATATACAGCCAATTGATGTAACTCAAATCTATTTTTTAAACAGCCATTAGATGTAACTCAAGTATAAACTTCCTACAGTCAATTTACGTTACTCAAATATATATATTTTATCTACCCAGTATATGTAACTCAAATATATACTTTATTACAACTCACGTTTTCGGACCCATATAGAGAGTTACTTCCCTTCCCATTCATAAGCTTAGTGATCAGCCACCAACATGGAGCATTTTACTAGTTGTTGTCACCGGCCAGCAATATCGCATGTCTTTGAATGTTTACAATACTTTTTATCACTTGACATTGTTTAGAATATCACTTATACAAATGATTTCAGAACAAACAAAATGTAAACACACTTCCACAAAGGCAGCGATTTTGATTGTTCCATACTGAAGGGGGTCGTTCATTGTAAGACAACTGTTAGGGAGGCTCACATTGTCGCTAAAGATATGTGTATGTGTGAAAACACAAATTTCTGATTTGTTCCCCCTTCCAAGACCAGAAAGATCCCACCATCCCTGAGCCATAATACCTCTGATACTTTTTATGCAATTAAAACATTTTATACAAAAAAGTTTAGGATATTGGTTAATATTTAATTTGATACTTTGTTTCAAAATTCAAAAATCACTTTTTTCAAGAATTCCTAGAACTGCCCTCTTATTGGTCACGAAACATGCAGAATTGGCTTTAACCCCAACCGCACTCGTGAGAGTGCAGCCTATGTCTCATGAGAGAGTGCAGCCTACGTCCAGTTCTGCATGTTTTGGGAAGTCACTCTCTTTCTGCGCTTGAAAACGTGAGATGTACCTATACCATATACAACCATTAGATGTCACTAAAATATAAACTTTATTTGCAGGGCACCAGGAAAAAGTCGCCTACTTTAGCAAACCAGTTCAAGAAATCTCTGGAGCAATTAATGGCTGCACTTGGCACTTGCCAGCCCTTTTTTGTCAGATGCATCAAACCAAATGACTTCAAGAAACCACTGGTAAGTTTTTTTTTTAACCGTGTGCCCCTGAGAGGTTGTAAAATAGACACTCTCGGGAGGGACCAATTCTCCATAAAGATCACTTAACCAACCTGTATTATTAGTCCACCGTTAGCAAAAGTTTAAAAAAAAAAAACCTGAACTCTCTTTAAATTCATGTTTACACGGTTTTACAGTATTAATTTTTTGAATGCTGAGGAAGGTTATATGCATTTGTTTCTTTCTCATTTGGACTGTAAATTTAAACTATTACTGCTGTATAGATCTAAAAACAAACTGATTGACTAAAATAATTACTTATAGACTTCAAACAATCATCAGTTGGTTCCTGCTCAGAAATTGTTTCTTCTTCTTTATTGCTCTTCCAAGTTTACTTTTCATGTTTACAGCAACCTGTAATATTTTTGCCTTTCGGCCGTTATATTGATGATATTGGCCGTACGAAAGCTTGACGATGGCCATACCATTGCTTGATGTTGACCTTACCATAGCTTGATGTTGACTTTACCATAGCTTGAAGTTGACCTTACCATAGCTTGATGATGACCTTATCATAGCTTGATGTTGAGCTTATCATAGCTTGATGTTGAACTTGTCATAGCTTGATGCTGACCTTATCATAGCTTGATGCTGACCTTATCACAGCTTGATATTGACGTTATCACAGCTTGATATTGACCTTACTATAGTTTGACGTTGGCCTTACCATAGCTTGATGTTGACCCTACCTTAGCTTGATGTTGACCTTACCATAGTTTGATGACCTTATCACAACTTGATGTTGACCTTATCACAGCAGGATGTGGACCTTATCATTCTTTGTGTATCGGTTGATTTATAAAAATATGAGCCTAGCACATTTATCTGGTGCACCAATGATGTAAAAATAGTTGACTTTACTTATTAGTTTTATCCCCCCTTCCCCTCCCCTCTCCCCCACACCCCAGATATTCGACAGAGAACTCTGCTGCAAACAGCTTCGTTACTCGGGAATGATGGAGACTATACGGATCCGTCGTGCTGGATATCCCATCAGGCATGAGTTTGCCAAGTTTGTAGACAGGTATCGGCTGCTGGTTGATGGCATTGCCCCCTCTCACAAGGAAGACTGCAGGGCTGCATCCAGCAGAATTTGTTCCCATATTCTCAAGAATGCAGACTATCAGCTTGGAAAAACTAAAGTGTTTCTTAAGGTGGGTCAGTCAAGACAGTGGTTTGGATACATACACATATTTATTAACTTTACACTGCTTCATTTAATGGAAATATATTTGGTTGTTATGTGCAAGAACTATATTTGGTTGTTTTGTGCAAGAATAATTTTGGTTGTTGTGTGCAAGAATTATCTTTGGTTGTTATGTGCAAGAATTATATTTGCTTGTGTGCGGGAAATTTATTTGGTTGATATGTGGAAGAATCATATTTGGTTGTTATGTGCAAGAATTATATTTGACTGTTGTGCACAAGAATTATATTTGGTTGTTGTGTGCAAGGATCATATTTGGGTGTTGTGTGCAAGAAATATATTTCTCTTGAATATTTGGTTAGGGTCTTTGTTTAAATTGCCAATTTTGTACTATTTCTTGTGTGTGTGTGTGTGTGTGTGTGTGTGTGTGTGTGTGTGTGTGTGTGTGTGTGTGTGTGTGTGTGTGTGTGTGTGTGTGTGTGTGTGTGTGTGTGTGTGTGTGTGTGTGTGTGTGTGTGTGTGTGTGTGTGTGTGTGTGTGTGTGTGTGTGTGTGTGTGTGTGTGTGTGTGTGTGTGTGTGTGTGTGTGTGTGTGTGTGTGTGTGTGTGTGTGTGTGTGTGTGTGTGTGTGTGTGTGTGTGTGTGTGTGTGTGTGTGTGTGTGTGTGTGTGTGTGTGTGTGTGTGTGTGTGTGTGTGTGTGTGTGTGTGTGTGTGTGTGTGTGTGTGTGTGTGTGTGTGTGTGTGTGTGTGTGTGTGTGTGTGTGTGTGTGTGGTGTGTGTGTGTGTGTGTGTGTGTGTGTGTGTGTGTGTGTGTGTGTGTGTGTGTGTGTGTGTGTGTGTGTGTGTGTGTGTGTGTGTGTGTGTGTGTGTGTGTGTGTGTGTGTGTGTGTGTGTGTGTGTGTGTGTGTGTGTGTGTGTGTGTGTGTGTGTGTGTGTGTGTGTGTGTGTGTGTGTGTGTGTGTGTGTGTGTGTGTGTGTGTGTGTGTGTGTGTGTGTGTGTGTGTGTGTGTGTGTGTGTGTGTGTGTGTGTGTGTGTGTGTGTGTGTGTGTGTGTGTGTGTGTGTGTGTGTGTGTGTGTGTGTGTGTGTGTGTGTGTGTGTGTGTGTGTGTGTGTGTGTGTGTGTGTGTGTGTGTGTGTGTGTGTGTGTGTGTGTGTGTGTGTGTGTGTGTGTGTGTGTGTGTGGTGTGTGTGTGTGTGTGTGTGTGTGTGTGTGTGTGTGTGTGTGTGGTGTGTGTGTGTGTGTGTGTGTGTGTGTGTGTGTGTGTGTGTGTGTGTGTGTGTGTGTGTGTGTGTGTGTGTGTGTGTGTGTGTGTGTGTGTGTGTGTGTGTGTGTGTGTGTGTGTGTGTGTGTGTGTGTGTGTGTGTGTGTGTGTGTGTGTGTGTGTGTGTGTGTGTGTGTGTGTGTGTGTGTGTGTGTGTGTGTGTGTGTGTGTGTGTGTGTGTGTGTGTGTGTGTGTGTGTGTGTGTGTGTGTGTGTGTGTGTGTGTGTGTGTGTGTGTGTGTGTGTGTGTGTGTGTGTGTGTGTGTGTGTGTGTGTGTGTGTGTGTGTGTGTGTGTGTGTGTGTGTGTGTGTGTGTGTGTGTGTGTGTGTGTGTGTGTGTGTGTGGTGTGTGTGTGTGTGTGTGTGTGTGTGTGTGTGTGTGTGTGTGTGTGTGTGTGTGTGTGTGTGTGTGTGTGTGTGTGTGTGTGTGTGTGTGTGTGCAGGTGCATGTGTGCATGCGTGCAGCATATGTTTATGCATGCATGTGTACACATATCAGGTTGGTGTGTGTGCACAAAGCATGATAGTTTTAGAGATAGACACAACAAGTTGGAAGATAGAGACTGCCAAATGCAATGTTTGTTATTAACATTTTAAAAGACCTGTTTAATCCTCGTGTTCTTCACATTGACTGACTGTAAACTCTAGCAGAAAGTTCTGGCTGTCCGTCCACCTCTGGACTTTAGTTTTGCTACAGTAGTTGAGTTTTGCATGCATATCTGTTTTACACATCTGGCTTAGTTGTAAGCAGACTGTTGGTTCCTCACCTCTGAGGCAGATGCATTCCAACTTTAAAGGAAGCAGCCCAATTTGGATGACATGCTTGTAAAGTGGGCAGTAGGTCTATAATTTTTTCCCCCACATTGGGGTCCCAAAACCCATGGAGGATGGGGTGGGGGGGGGGGGGAACATATCTAATTATGTTTGGGAACATGTTTCAGAAAACAGCAGCAGGCATCATGTGCTGTAAATGGGTAGAAGGCGTTTAAAAATTGCACTTAACTTCCCTCACCTGGATCTACATACCTAGTCATGCTGACTGGCAAGCAATGCATAAACACATATGGGAAGAAGCATGGACAGAGCAAATATCAGTGCTGTACGGGCTGGGCTAGTGGATGGTGAGGAATCGCTGACACTAATACAGTTGCATGACATAGGATGAAGCATGGCATATCACATTTTTGCCATTTTCGAGGCCAAGATAGGAGACAATATAACCAACCTATGGGAACACTTAGTAAAAGTACCTTGGAGTGGCTGCTGCACTGGAGGACTGAGCACACATGGTAATGCCAAATGAGCAGTGACATTGATTGTGATAACATAACATAACATAACCTATATCTAATGATGATAGTGATTATTGGTAAGAGTGTTGACCTCACTGCACTGGATTTGATCTAATTTGGCTTAATTTCTCTGCATAGCGAACTGGCCACCACATGAGATTGTCATAGAAAGCATGAACTCCATATCTCCAATAATGAACCCTAGGGATCTCCCAAATCATTGCACTCATGGACAAAATGGCATAGGTCAAAAGCAAACCCTCAGTCTTCAAAGTGTCTATCTAATGCTTTTACCACTTTGTTACAAAGACCCCTTTATAAGATTTCTAAAACTTACAATCTCAGTCTTTACTTCCAGGATGCACAAGATGTCCTTCTGGAGCAGCAAAGAGAGATTACTCTCACTAGAAAAATTTTAGTGATCCAGAAGATGGTGAGATCATGGTACTACAGAAGTAGGTTCCTGAAGATGAGGAAGTTTGTTGTCATTGTACAGTCTGCTCTGAGAGCTTACAGAGAGAGGCAGCAGTTCCTGGTGGTTTGTACAGTTTTTCAATTGTTTAATTTTAATACGACTGGCACCTTTCCGTCTTTCCAGATAATAGTGTTATATTGCCCGACGAAAAGGCATGGGACTCACAGCCCATGGCGATGGCGAGTGTCACTAGCAAGACCCGCCCATGTTAAGAAAAGTCTTCCACATTTACAGCATGGGATTTCAGGATTGTTGTTGCCAACATTTGTGTTTAGTCTGTTTCTTCTCAGATGCTCAGCTCTCATCCTTTTTTCTTCCTTCATTCTCATTCCCTTCCACATAACACGATCCATGGTATTTTGTTCCCACAAGTCCACCTCAATACCTGTATCATTCATGTTCCACTTGCGCACATCTTTATATCGTATTAGATAGAAGTTGGCCTCGACATCTTCTACCTGTCTTTAATTCACCATAGAGAATGCCCATAGGGACTCTTCCATCCTTCATTCTCCAGGTGTGACCCAGCCACCTGAGTCTTCATAGACTGAGCACTAAGAAAATTGTTGTAATACCTGCTCTTTCCAATACCTCAGTGTTTGTGATTTTGTCTTGCCACTTAATGCCGAGTATATATGTATTGATAATTGCACACTTAATTAGGATTTAAAAGAAAAAAGAATCAATAAAACTCCTGTTTGCATGGCCCTCTGTCATATTGGTTTTTGTGCATCATCCAGTATCATAGCAACCCAGTGGCAGGTTGGTAAAAAAAAATCGCTTTTTTGGAGTGTGAGAAGCTAACTTACTCCTTGCCAGTCTGATCAAGTGTGGCTTCCCAGAGAACATGTTGACTGCCAGGCATACACTCTTATTGGGAACATCATATATCTTGTGTCAGTAGCAGTAATCAGAGTCTCATATTGTCAGTGAGGATTCAAAAGCACAACAGGTGAGTCTCAAAACTTAAAAGTCATGACCTAGCTTGGCCTGCCTATGGAGAATGTTAGAAAGATAAATGGGCAAAATCACTTGTCGACTTTTGGGGAACTTCTTGCAGTGATCACAAAACTCCTGTTGTGTTTTCTTCTGTAAGGAGTACTTTATATTCAAGGCTACATTATCATTTATGCAGGGGGGTGCAATATGCTGTGTTTATACCAACTCTGCTTGCAATAAGCTGTGCTTCTTTGAGCGCTGACTCATTGTCTAGATGATGATATGTGTAGTAAATGCTCGTAGGACACATTCTACGTTGACAGAACTGGGACAAGCCGACACCAACTTAAGTACGATTCATCTGTTTATTGACATCATAACAGCTAGTAAACAGCTTATACACACCACATCACGCAGACTTCAACATGCTGGTTCCTCACACAGTCACTGACCAGAGTTTGCAAAGATGTATCTGGTTCATCTCCTTGATGGTATCCAGACTGGCCTGGCTGGTTTTGGCTTCAAACGTCGTCTGGTTCTCCTTTCACGTCAAGCAATCTCACGTTGACGTTCTTACACTCAGTCTCCCATCTTTTCGCTCCTACAGTTCAACACATACTAACTTAATCAGACTGGAGTCTGAACTTATACCATGGGTCAGTTTCACATGGCAACACATGGTGGTCCTTTACTTCCATGTGGCGACCTGTGGTCGTGTCATGGTGTTACACGTGATAACTCATGGTCATCACCTATCTTGAAAACCTCGTTTAATCAGAGTATCTGGAATATCTTGGTATTTTAGCTAATCTGGGTGAAAATATCCCTCATTGCAAGGGGGGGGGGGGAATCAGAAGAAAATTTGAATAAAGGAAAGGTGCCGAAAGATGAGAGCTGAGTGTCTGATTAGTACACTAAATACATGTGATGACAACAGCGGTCCTGAAATCCCACGCTCTAATTGTGCAAGACTTTTCTTAGTCACACTCACCATCACTATGGGCTGTGATTTCCATGGCTCCCTATATCACAATTTGAGGCTATCATCTGGAAAGATCTGGCAACAAAGAACACATCATCATTCTGTCAAAATCATGCAAGTTGCATTTTCTTCTGTATACTTTTATGGAACCCATTTTATGGGTCTGGGTTGACCTTTCACAATCATGAAATTTTAAGAACACTCTTCTGAACTGCCTAACAACACTCTGTGGCATTAGATACACAGGAGGAACGTTCAGGAAAAAAAACAGCATGGTGGAATGATAACGTAAAACAAGCAGTGAAATGTAAAAAGGAGCAATACAAGAAATGGCTAAGATCCCGCTCAGATGACGATTATATCAAGTACAGAATTGCCAGGCGACAATCTGCAAGAGAAATTAAACAATCCAAGGAAACATCCTGGATCATGTATGGGGAAAATCTTACCAAAATCTGTGCTTAATCTAGTAGACAGTTTTACAAAACCATTGCAAAAATGAGAACTAGAGATGAACCATTCCAGCCATATGAATATGTCATTGATAGTCAAGGCAAACCCATACATGAGGAGGGCAAGATCAGAGAAAGGTGGAAAGAATATTTTCAGACTCTTCTGAATGTAACAGGAAATGAGGAAACAGTACCATTCACACCCAGATGTACAAACGAGGAACAGGCTACAATAATCGAACAAGAAGTCAGAGAAGCAATCAGATGCAGTCCCACAAATAAGGCATCAGGTGTTGATGGAATATCAGCCGAGGCAATACAGGTTTGTGGAGAAATTGAAGTCACCTGGCTACTCCACATATTTAGGAAAGCCTGGAATGAAAGAACTGTACCAATAGACTGGCAAAGAGCCCTTATAGTCCCAATTTGGAAAAGAAAAGGCAATAATCAAGATTGTAACAATTACAGGCATCTCCCTTCTAAGCCACGTAGGAAAAATGTTTGCCAAAATTCTGGAACAACGAATTAGATCCGTTGTTGAACCGATCCTGAGCCCTTCACAGGTCGGATTTAGGAAAGGAAGAGGGTGTACTGACGCTATTTTTGCGTTGAGACAAGTTAGCGAAAAGACAATAGAACACAGACATCAAATGAACATCGCTTTCATAGATCAAGAAAAAGCTTTCGATAGAGTAAACAGAAATTTATTATGGAAAGTTCTTGAAAACTACGGTATAAATGGAACAATTTTAGATTGTGTTAGGGCTATTTATAGACAAAGTGAAAGCGCCATTAGAACAAGAGCTGGCATCACAGACTGGTTCCCAGTAACATCAGGAGTAAGTCAAGGTTGTGCATTATCACCTTTACTTTTCATAGTATTTATGGACAATATTAATAAAATAGACATAACACCAACAGATGTCGATAAACAGGAGGACTTCAATGAGCTGCTCTTTGCCGACGATCAATGCATATTCCACAGTGATAGTAAACAGCTGCAAGACCACATAAACCTACTACACGACAGTTGCCGCAAGCATAATATGAAGATCAATACTGAAAAGACAGAAGTCATGAGCATAAGTAGAGAGCAACAGACCATCGACATAAAGATTCTAGATCACAGCCTAAAACAAGTGCAAGAATTTAAATACTTGGGAAGTATCTTTACATTCAATGGTAAAATAGACAGAGAGATCGAAGCAAGAATCCAACAAGCCAACAATGTCGCATACCAGCTTGCCCCAATTTTAAAACACCCGGCTGTCCCAGCTGAGATAAAAAGACAAATTATAAATACAATCTTTATACCGACATTAGGTTATCAATCTCAGACTTGGACATTAATAAAAGAACACGAGAGAAGACCAACCACCTGTGAAATGAGATGTTTGGGAATGGCTGCAAATAAAACCAGAAGAGATCGAGTGAGAAACGATGTTATTACAAGAACTATTGGAACCATACCCATTGTTAAATTTATTGAGAAGCAAAGAATGAAATGGTTTGGTCACCTAATGAGAATGGAACCAACGATGCCAGCATCAAGAGCATACAGCATGAAAATCGAAACACCAAGAGGCAGAGGAAGACCAAGAAGAAGATGGATTGAAGGAGTCACGGACAACTTGAGACTTCATAACATCACGGCATATGAAGCGACTGAGCGCGCCCTGGCTCGGTTGCCGATCATCTGATAGACTGCGACGCCTAGCGGCACAAGCAGATTTTGACAAAAGAAAGAAGAATCATGAAATACATGTTTCCTAATGGAATTCGAACCAAGGATCTCAGACTTGCAGGTACTAGTCATTAGTTACCATAGCTCATGGCGAATACAGTCATAGGGGTTAAAAGTGATTAAGGTTTTGAACAACGGATCAACATCATGGCACCCCGTTCTTCTTCTAACTCAAGTCTGAGTCTGAAGTAGTTCAGCACAGTGCACAGGCTCTGTAGCAAGGATCCTGAAATACTTTGGGTAGATTTTGAACTCGAAATTTTTGCCCGGGCAGCGCCCTTAGGCTACTCTTTTTGAATTTCAACATTAATTTTGTTTACGTGCGCAACAATGCACACGGGTGTCCAATCTCACTACTCAAAGACCAGGGGGAATTACTAGAAGTCCACGTGAAAAATCCCAGCCCTTACCAGGGATTGAACCTGGAACCTCTAGCATTTGAGGCAGACACCATGCCTCCAGACCACGCAACCCCGCAGATCAAAACTGATAAGAACTGCTTATATACTAAAATGTAACTTTATAAAAAGATCTGACCATTTATGAAAAATAAATCAACATATATTGATCATATTCTTTGAAGTGAATGAAGAATTGATGCCATGACACTCGGGGCATTGCCACACATGCTCTGTCCCTTTTCTGAACAAAGAAGAGTTCCAGTACTGTTGGTGCCACCTGCAACTTGATTTACATGTCCACCTAATTCTTTGAAGTGGAAGAATGAAGTAAAACTTAGATAAAATGTTAAACAATGTAACTTCTTCTTCCTCTTCTTTAGCATTCTGAGCCCTTTAGGTTTCTAGCTGCAGATATCACCCACCTCCATTCATCTCTCTGGTTGGCCCTCTCTTTCCAGTTGGTGACACCGAGTGTTTTCAGGTCTGTCTGGATATTATCTCCCCATCATCATCTTGGTCTGCCTTGTGGTCTACGACCATAAATCTCCCTGGTGTATACAGTTTTTACTTCTCTGTCATCTGACATTCTTTCAATGTCCCAACCATTTAAGTCTATTAGCTCTCATGATGCCAGGGATCAGTGGTGATTTCAACAGATTATGAATTTAAACAATGTAACTAGTTTACCATAATGTAAAGTTTTGAGTGTACTTGCAGAGAAGGCAAGGGTACATGCGACTACAAGCCATGATCCGAGGCAGAATTATAGCAGCCAGGTACAGCTTCATTCGTGGATGGGTTTTGAAATTTCAGGTGGGTTCTTATTTTACATTGTTTCTTCTTCTTTTTTTCTTTCTGTTTAACAAAAAGGTACATACACTTTTTTGGGGGCCCTATTATAGGGAAAACAAGAATAGACCTAATGCCTACTCAAAAGCATGTTGTAAACGTCAACTAATTGGGAGCTTCCTTCGAAGTTGGAGGGAATCTGCATGAGACACAACAAACCAGCAGTCTGCATACAAATGAGTCAGATCTGTAAATCAAATGCACACGCAACACTCAGGTTCAATGAACAACCAGAACTTTCCGCTAGTGTTTACAGCTGGTGAACGCAAAGATGAAGAAGAAGAAGAAGAAGAAGAAAATGAAGAAGATTGGGAATATAGGGCTAGACTATGTTTTTAGACCAATCAGCACTCAGTGGGTGATGTATTGTGCAAAACATTCCCAAGACATTACCTGGAAGCCATGTTAGGCTGCGTTACCCAGAAAGATGAAGTCAGTTTTTGAAGAAAATCTACCATGTGGATTCAAACCCACCACCATAAAGCCAGTAGACGAGCTGCTAATTCCGGCTCAAAGTAAGTAAGGGACCCCTTTCCATGGCTTTAGGTTTATTGGGCAAATAGGGCAGGTACTATATATTAAAGATCAATCAGCTCTCAGGGGTGATGTTTTCAACATTAGGGTATCCACTTTAAAGCTAAATAAATGATGTCCTGACATATGGAAGTGAGTCATGGACAGTGGATCCCCAACCTTCAGATCTGCAGGCAAGCATCTAGCTGCTACACCACAGTGGCTCCAGCTGACAGGTAGACTGTAATATTTGCACTTTTCGCCCAAATACAAGTGAAATGATACGTTTAAGTATTTGGGTACCATGATAACATTAGATAGAAGATGTGTTTAAAAAAAGTTGAATTTAGAATAGCTCAAGCAAAAGAAGTATCTTACAAAATTAAAAATTTTCTTTGCACTCGTTAATTCTCAGTTTAGATGAGAAAGAGAATTCTTAAAAGCTATATAAATGATATCCTGACATACAGAAGTGAATCATTGGCAGTTGGTAGATTACTGAATTTTTGGGCGGGAAGTTGCGGAGATGGAGTTTTATAGACGGATGATGAGAATACCCTGGATAGGTAAAAAGGGTAACGAAGATGCCTTAAAATAAATGGATGAACTAGGAGAACTAATTACCCACATTGGAAAGGGACAATCTACATTCTGTTGTCATGTCATAAGAAGGAGAAAACTTTAGTACATCGTGACAGTAGGAAAGTAGGAGGGGAAGAGAGGCAGAGGATGGTATAGACAGAAGATGCTGGACAGTTTGACATCATGGCATGAAGGATCATCTATGTCTGATTGATTGAAAGTGCCCAAGATAAAAGGTTGTGGTCCACAAGAGATTGCTACCAGCATCACATGGCATGCACTTTAAGAAGAAGTACGTAATGTTTATTTTGATAATATTCATTAAATTAAACTCACAAAAGTAAATGTATTAATGCGTTTTTCACTTTAACTGAAACTCATACAGCTAACAGCTGATGGTCATAAACATTAATGTTTGATGTGTTTAAAACATTGATAAGCACTTATCAGAGTGACTGGTCCTGCTCTTGTATGGATCTGAATATTAAGGATCCTTTCTGATCCTCCTATAGGTGGTATGGCAGTTCCAAGCAATCGGTTCCTAATCACAAAGCTTACATCTTGTTACCTGGGCTCTAAAGACAGTAGATGCGTTATATTATTGAATTTGTCTTTCATACATTAGCTTTAAAGTTTCAATCCTATCCTCAACATGTTAAGCAACAGTTCTTAAAAAAAATTCTGAAGATTTCTGGTGCTGAAATACGCTGCTAGCACCACATTCTGATTTATGAAAGGGTTGTTTCTTCTTCATCTTCTTCTTCTATCCATTTTCCCCCAATGGCCCAGAAACCCTAACCAGCTCTGGCCAGGTCATCCTGTCCTTAACTATTGCATGCAGCTCACCTTATGTCCTCTGGTTCATTTTAACTTTGCTTTGTAGTTCCTTTCTCTATGTGTTTGTTGGTCAGCCTTTAATCCTTTGGCACTGTGGTTGCCAGTGCAAAGACATTCTAGTTACAAGGGTTCTTTACTATAATTCAGTGGTAAAGTAAAGGACCTTTTCGCACGCTTTCTGGCGTATTGGCCATATATGACTAGACCTATATTTTATAGACCAACTGGTACTCGGTGGGTGGTGTGGTCAGCATTATGCCAGCCATGATTATTTGCCAGGGCTTTACCTGGTACCCATTTAAGGCCAGCTCCATCAGGACCTGCGCCTCTGACCTTTGGACTGCAGGCATGTGTCTAACCACTACATCGTGGCAGCTTCCAATACAGCAATAAAGTATAATAATTTCATTCCCAGCCTCTGTGTCGTGGTTATCTACTAAGACAATGGCTACAGAAGAGGATGGTCGCAGTGTTCCAGATTCAAGCAGCTGTGAAAACTATCATTGCTCAGAAGCAGTTCTGGAGACTTAAACTCAAGGTATGGTTTGAGACAGGCATGTTTGCTAATGAGTAACTAATGATTGACAAGTAGCATATGATGTGTGTAGGGAGATGCAACAGAACAGTGGCTAGATGTTTGCTTGTGGGCCTGACAGGCTTGAGTTCAGTTCTGCACTGAGACAGATTTTGTTATAATTTACCTTGTCTCCCAGGTTGATCCAGCTTAAAATTACTTATTACTTGTTATCTGTATCAACATCCTAGTACATCTGTCTGACCTACTCATGCCCTGTCCTCCTAAACAGCAGCCATCACAGTGTCTCCATTCTCAACCGTACCCAGAGGAGCCGCCTGGCATGTCTTCTTTCTCTTCCCTGCAATCAGATTCTGCATGCTTGTCCTGGTTTGATATCTACTTTCCAACAGGTGGTTCATCACATCTGGCTCTTTTGTCTAAAAGTTTATGGGATGAAGCACATTCAATATGTCCGCCCTGTCCATATAACCATACTGATGACATAATAAAATAACCCTACTGATGACAATATAATATAACCATACTGATGACAAAATAATATAACCCTACTGATGACAATATAATATAACCATACTGATGACAATATAATATAACCATACTGATGACAAGATAAAATAACCCTACTGATGACAATATAATATAACCCTACTGATGACAATATAATATAACCATACTGATGACAATATAATATAACCCTACTGATGACAAGATAAAATAACCCTACTGATGACAATATAATATAACCATACTGATGACAATATAATATAATCATACTGATGACAAGATAAAATAACCCTACTGATGACAATATAATATAACCATACTGATGACAGAATAATATAACCATACTGATGACAATATAATATAACCATACTGATGACAATATAATATAACCATACTGATGACAATATAATATAACCATCATACTGATGACAGTGGAATATAATCTCCATGACGACTATATAATAAAATCATACAGATGACAATATATAATACCACACTGATGACAATATAATACAACCACACTGATGACAATATAATATAACCACACTGATAACAATATATTACAACAATACTGATGACAATATAATATAACCACACTGATAACAATATAATACAACCATACTGGGGACACTACAATACAACCATACTGATGACAATATAACAACACTGATGACAATATAATATAACTATACTTATGACAATATAATACAACCACACTGATGACAGTATAATATAACCACACTGATGACAATATAATATAACCACACTGATGACAATATAATATAACCACACTGATGATAATATAATATAATCACACTGATGACAATATAATATAACCACACTGATGACAATATAATATAACCACACTGATGACAATAAAATATAACCATACTGATGACAATATAACAACACTGATGACAATATAATATAACTATACTTTTGACAATATAATATAACCATACTGATTAAATTATAATATAACCATACTGATGACAATATAATATAACCGTACTGATGACAATATAATATAACTATACCGATAACAGTATGAAATAACCCTACTGATGACAATATAATATTACTATACTGATGACAACATAATATAACCTTACTGATGACAATATAGTACAACCACAATGATGACAACATAATATAACCTTACTGATGACAATATAGTACAACCACAATGATGACACTGCTTCTGTCCAGTACCAGACCGGTCACAGCAGCCGAAGTGTCCACCGTATATATAATCTACACATTTGTTAACTCAAACATCCACATGACCTGACATAAAGAAAATGCTAGGCTAGCCATTTTCAATGCATTTAGAAAGACTATTAGACTAGCCATTTGTGATGTGCTTAGCATGACCATCTATTGTCTTCTTCTTTTCTCTCCTTCTTTTCTCTACTCTTGAGATGCCTTGCATCATCAGGCACAATCTATTGTTGCCTGATTAAACATGCCTGGATTTTCTTGAGCATATTCTTTGAGTCACACAGTATGCATGTATGAATGTGAATAAATGCTTGAGTGCCTAACCATGCGAGTACCCTTTTACATGCATGGTCTCTGTTGTAAGACTGCTTGTAGTAACAACAAAGGTGTCGTCACTCATCTCTTTGATTGCGCCCCCCCCCCTTTCCCCCTCTTTCCAGCTCCTTGGAAAAAAAATATGAATGTCTATGCAATTTACTTGCCCTAAATTATTGATCCATCCATGTAAACTACATCGTCACCTTCATCAGTGTTCTCATCAGTCAGCGTTTTAACGAAAGCATCAACTGGTATGGACTACTAGGCAGAGGCATCCATTCATTTCCAAGACCTAAATTGGAAAGGTGACAGACAGACCTATTAGATGGCATCCACAGCATTGCTTCCTACAAGGGGGATGGTAAAGAATATAAGTGTCTAATTAAAGTCAGTGCTTCTTCTTCTTCTTCAGCGTTCCAAGCCCTTGAGGTTCTTTGCTGCAGGTATCACCTGCCTCCACTTATCTCTCTGGTTGGCCTTCTCTTTCCATTTGGTGACACCAAGTGTTTGCAGGTCTCTCTGGACATTATCTTATTAAAGTCTTTAAAAAAAAAAGATTACCTTATCATGAAGAAAGTATTGAGGGACTGACTTCAAGCAGTTGCCGTGGATAATGATGGATGATCTTGTGAAAAATTATATTTGCTTATTTAAGTACTAAAAACAAAACGTTTAGCACTATAGCTTTTGGGATGCAGAACCTGCATGTGGGTGTTGTTCATCTGTAGGATGAAATGATGCTAGAGGCAACAAAACTCAGACTAGATGAAGAAGCTGAGCTCATGAAAAACATGCATCCCAAAGATGCAAAACAAATCTCCCAACAGCATTATCAGGTGAGAACATCTTTTATTTTATTTTCCTAGTTATCTGTCCATTCATGAACTGTCAGGAGAAGAAGATTTTGTTCTATGGGAAGGTTAATTGTCACAATTATGATATCATGGTTTGTTGTTTTCTCTCAATACATGTTGGGATCTTAGTTGGGTTGAGTTAAGAATTAATCACATCACTCAAGGCATTCCCATATGTTCTCTGTCCCCATCCTCAGCAACTAGCGCAGAGCTCCAATACTAATGGTGCCAGTCGTAGTCTGGTTGCATGTGCATCTCGCCATTCCTCTGAGCTGGCCCTCTGGTCACACCCAGGTGCATCATTCTCTCTAGCCCGTAAAGTTGGGATCTTCAAACTAGCTAAACTAACATACATCTAAGTAAAAGAACACTTTTCAACACCTTTAGGTGTATTAGGCATATAGTGCATTGTACTTTTTTATGGACTAGTTGGTACTTGTTGGGTGATGTGGTAAACATCATGCTGGTTGCCTTTACTTCCCCAGACTTTACCTGGTACGCATTTAAGGCTGGGTCAACCTGGCAGCTAAGGTCATTTATTAAAACAAAATGACTGGCTATGTTCATTTTTGAAACCATGACGAGTGTTTGTCTACTCTGATGTTGGATATTTGTGTTTGTTTAATACTAACTGATATTTAATATTGCATAGATTTTGTGTTTGTTATCCTTGTCTTCTTCTTCTTCTTCTTCTTCTTCATCTTCTTCTTCTTCTTATTCTTCTTCTTCTTCTTCTTCTTCTTCCTCTTCTTCTTCTTCTTCTTCTTCTTCTTCTTCTTCACTTCCTCATTTATCCCTCAGCTGTCGAAAAAGATATAAGGTTCTGCTTCTTGCTCTTCAGGCTGCCTCGACCATAGATGCATCATGCTGTTGTAGAGTTTTTTTTACATTATCTTTCCATTTATTCCTGGTCTACCTCATACTCTAAATCCTTCCCCTCGTTTGATGTATGCCTTGTATGGTATGGGATCATAAGGCATTTTATCCGTGAGCAAACATTATGATTTGCTGTCTTTATATGTATTTTAGAATTGGTTCTGTGCTGACTTTTCTCTTATGACCTCATTCCTGATTCTACTTTTTAGGTCACTCCTGCAGTCCTTCTCAGACATCTCCTTTCCATGGTTACTAATTTTCTCTTATGGTTTGTTGTAAGTGACCAAGTCTGGCACTGGTAGCATAGGATGTCAATATTTGTGCTCCTCTGTATTATCTTGTGCAGTAAAGGGGCATGTGTGTGTGTATGAGTGTTGTACGTGTACGCATTTAGGTGCACATGTGTGTGTGTGTGTGAGCAAGCATGTATGTGTGCATGCATGTGCATGCATGTGTGTGTGAGGGAAGGGGCTAGATGTCCCAATACATAGTTGTTAACATTATTCCACTAAATTTGTACGCCAACATTGCAGGGAATCTTGTGGAAATACTGTTGGGAAGACAAAGGATTAGGAGGGAATGAAAAAGCAGATTTTCTGGCTACAAAAGCGAAAGCTACAGGAACACTCATACTGGACAAGGGAGATTGAATACCATATATGAACGACTGTTGTCAGAAGATATGAAATTAGAGGAAATAACATGTGCAAGAATGTGTGAACAAGGAACTAGGAGTGGATCTGGTAAAAATGGACGTATGAGAGGAAGAGAATGATGTGTATTTAATCAGTGTGCTACAGGAACAGTTAGCATCTAAACCTCAAGACATTTGCTACATGAGACAGAGCATCTATGGGTATGCCCGGTGTGCTATGATGTCAATTCTTAAATCAGTAGTCAGTAATAAATGTCTGTTTGGCTTTAAGATAGCAACAGACTTGTATAGACAGTCACATGAATAACTTTCTGGCATCAAAAGAGTTAACAAACTTTTTAAATTTTTTTTTTTAAACAGGAGCGCATGCGTGACCGCACATTAAAGATAAAGAGTAAAGAAGCACTACGACCACATCTGACTATGGATGCAGATGAAAACCTGGAAAATGATATCAAACTGGTATTTTTAAAAACTGTCTGCCATAGTTTAACTCTTTGAGTTCCAAGGAACGCATAATACGTTCATAGGTTCCTACCTAGAAGCCCAATATACGCATGATGCACCGATATTATTACTATCTTTATAACCCACTGGGCCTGTGGTGCTAAACCCCCGGGAACTCAAAGAGGTAAAGAAATGTGTTCCTAACTCTTTATGTTTCAAGGTCTGATGGGTAATTGAATTTAATTCTTTTTTTTTGCGTTTAGTAACTGTAAACTCCAGTAAAAAGTTCTGGTTGTTCATCCAGTCTTTTTCAGAACTTGAGTTTTATGTTCACATCTGTTTTACTAATCTGGTTTATTTGTATGCAGACTGTTGGTTCCGTGCCTCACAGACAGATTAACACTTGCTTTGGAGGGAACATATCTAATTAGTCACCCTTTATGGCATGGCTTTTTAGGGGTAATGTGTCTATTCACCCCCCCCCCCCCCCTTTACCCCCACCCTCCCAAAAAAAGGGGCCTTAGAAGCTACACAAGGATTTTGGCTATTTGCTTTTAAGAGAATGCTGGTTGATCATGGTAATGATGATAGCTTTCTGTGGGACATCTTGTAATTCCGGAATTATCATGTCTTGTTCTGAGCAGCACAGTTATTTGTGGTTCTTCACAAACATTTGTGGTCGATGTAAGACAGACTGTTATCGCTTCTGTGCGCATTTTTAAAGTATGCAGCATTTTCTTCCTCTGCTGACCTTCCTAACAAAATGTTCATAATTTTCCCAAGTGTCACAATCTTCTTAAGACCTTTTCATTTTAAAATATGTCTCAAAAGAAATGTTAATTATGAAGATCTGGGCAATAACCCGCCTGTATGAACTGATCCACTGAAATGGGACAAAGAAGACATTTATTGAGTATCTATTCTTTGCAGGCATGCAGTAGGTAATACATTACATTTCTCCCCGTGTGGATTCCGGGGTCCTATTGTAAGGAAAACAAGAATAGACTCATTGCCTACCCAAAAGCTATCCATAAGAGTTGACTAATTGGAAGCTTCCTTCAAAATCAGAGTGCACCTGACTGAGAGGCAAGAAACCAACAGCTGCATGCAAATGAGTCAAGTCTGTAAAACGGATGCACATGCAAACTCAGATTCTAGAAAAAGACTTTAAGTCAGTAAGTGAAAGAAAAAAAACTAGAACTTTTTACAGGAGTTTACAGCCTGTGAACGTAAAGAAGAAGAAAAAGAATATTACATTTTCAAGTATGGGGTTTTGGGCTCATTTTCGGGGGGAAATAGATAGACCCACTGCTGCTCCCCTCTTCCCCATGAGCCTCTCATAAAAGGGGACTAATTAGAGTTTTACTGAGATTGGATGTGTTGGGCCAAACGGTGCAGAAATTAAAGCCAAACAGTAAACCACAGCACAGTGTGCCAACCACCCTTTTATCTTTTTCAGTACTAGAATGTTTTAAAGCAGATACCATAGTGATTTAATAATCACAGGCAGTGATTAAATCATGCTTTAAAATCATGAAAGCTTTATAAATGTCAATATACCTAAATGTATGACTAACGGGGGAAGCCAGACCTCTCGAGTGTATTCTGACCAAATGGAAAATATACAAAAGCACATTATGCTATATAAAGATACATAAATGGAGTAATCAATAAACATGAACAGTTTGAAGAATTAAATGGAATACATTCCCCCTGGACCTAAAATTTAAAAAAACAAATGTATAAGGTGACTCAGTACCATGACCCTGTGACCTTTTTCAGGCTCATATAAAAATGTGATGTCATTAAAGCTCTTAAAAAAAAAGTCATCTCACAAGACTTCCCACACCTGCACCCCAATGCTATTTTTAGTTAATATATTTACATGCGAACTTCCTAAACCCTGTGCAGGCACAAATAGAACCAGTGGCAATTAACTACACTTTTAAAGAACAGGTCACTGCAGAAATTCTGAAACACTGGCATTTACTAGGAACTGGAAATTAGTCGCAACCGGAAGTAACTAGATCTGGTCTTTTCAGGGTGACAGTGATAAGCTTTAATGAATGTTAAGCAATTCTTCTATCAGAGCTAGTCACAATGAAAGTTTTTCTTAATGTTTTTATCCCCCCAAAGATTGATCAGCATTTTAAATTAGATGACCTGCAAATGCCACTGGAAACCTACCAGCCACCAGCTTCTGTTCAAGTGAGTACAGTGGTTTACTTACTTGTTTTGCCATTCCTCTTTGTCACATGGTGTTGTTGTTGTATTGTTGTTGTTATTGTTATTGATCCAGTGGTGTATGAGCTTCTGCCTTTTGAGCTAATACCATGTAGTGGAATTTACATGTTTTCACAAGCTGTTTTTTCCTCGCTACAAGATGTTCCACTTGTCTGGTCTTGGAGAGAGTAGCATTCTTCCAGTCTCAGGGTTAGTTACATAGCTGGCACTCCGGGTAGTGTTGCGGCTGTATTATGTTTGGATGTCCACTATGTAGAATATGTTGTGTTCTGAGTTTGAAGATGGTGGCCTGATCCCTCCTTGTTAAATCGTTGATGCTGTCATTAGGGTCAGGGCCAGCCATGTATCTGTCAACCTCTCTTCCAGTATCTCGCATGGCCCATCTGTTCGGCCAGTTCTCTTTGCTTGTAGCTCTTATAAGTGTTTTATGACATGGTGAGATTGGTCTCTTTAAAACTGAAGTTCTCACCACTTTAGAGATTACATATCATGTTAATGGCTCATGGTTATATTGCTAGGGTGAGCCCAGTTGCCAATAACCAGCAGATCAGGTATATCACTGAGCTTGATATCCTCATTCACATCATCAGGTAATCAGTTCCGTTTTCATAATACGCAGGTCCCCCGTGTCCGTTCCGGGGCCCCATTGTGGGGAAAACAAGAATAGACCCACTGCCTCCCCAAAAGCATGTCGTAAGAATCGACTAATTAGGGAGCATCCTTTGAAGTCAGAGTGCATCTGCTGGAGAGGCAAGGAACCAACAGTCTGTATTCAAGAGAATGAGATCTGTAAAACTGATGCACACACAACACTCTGCTTCTGGAGCAGGACTGCAGTTCAGTTGTGGACGAGCAACCAGAACCTTCCGCCAGAGTTTACAGCTGGTGAACGCGAAGAAGAAGAAGAAGATAATATGCAGGTCACCACATAGTTACTTCATTCCTGTGCCAATGAAGAGTACACAAAATGCCCAAACCTGTCCCTTGTGGACAAATAAAATTGACACAGAGTGTAGTCTTAGCGAATCCAACGGCATACACACACAATAAATGCATACGGCTGCAGTCAGAATTGCCAGCACAAACAGAATGACATTAGAAATGCAGTTTCTTGGTAGCAGCAGTTACAGCAGATCAGTAGCTGCACACATAAATAATTGCATAAGGCACCATAAATTCTCTGGCAATAGGCCACTCACTATTTTCTGAATCTGCAGTTCATAATACAAACTTCTTTAGGTACAGTAAAAAAACATGAGCTTCAAACAAATCAGGGTACAACTAACATTTTCCGGCCCAGGCAGACCATGATTGGCCATTGATTCATGCTTGCTGATCTTTCACACAGGTGACTCTCTGTTACAGGGGTGTCAAGTTTTATTGCCTTTGACACTCTCACCAGTGATGGATCCTGCTTTATATTACACGATGTGACCATTTTTATTGACCCAAGAAGATCTAGAACTGGCCCTAACCTCCCCCCCCCCCTCACCCTTTGACCCCAAAGCCTCAGCCTTTTTCTCATGAGAGACTGCAACCTACGTGCCATGATTTCAGAACTATTAATATTTTGCCTAGTACTTTACACCCTTAGATTATTATCTGCATAGTTATCTATTGCTTGTATGCCATTTGATGATTACAGTGGTGAAACTTATAAAGATAATTATTATTTAGTGAAGGTTCCAACATCACTGCAGATAGGTTTTTAGTCTTTAGTCAAGGTTCCAACATCAATGCAGATTGGATGTTAGTCTTTAGTAAGGTTCCATCATCACTGCAGATAGGTTTTTAGTCTTTAGTCAATGTTCCAACATCACTGTAGATTAGATGTTAGTCTTTATTTGAGGTTCCAACATCACTGCAGATGGGATGTTAGTCTTTAGTCAAGATTCCAACATCACTGCAGATGGGTTGTCACATAACTGCTGTGTTCTTCTACTAGTGGAAATTACATAAAATATCCCATTTGAAAACCAGTGAAAAACCTGTCAACCCCAGCAAAATCTTATAGCTTGCACATGCAAATTAAAAATGAAAAAGTCAGCTGTTAAACATGCTAGTACTAATGGTCCCACACCAGAATTGCAGCTCATTGTTGGCGCAGACAGCAAATCGTGAAACCTGGCGTTGCACTCACAGAATTACATGCCATTCTGAATGTAACTGGCTACCTGCCATTACAGTGCATTTAACACATAACAGAAATAAAATTCCATCTGAAATTCACAACTCACATTGTTGCACCAAGCACTCAACGCAATAACTGGACGATGGAACCTTTGGACTCTCCATCCAGAAATGGAGAATTTGCATTAGCAAAACCTAGCTGAAAACAAATAACATTTTATAGCTTCAGCAGTCAACCAGCTATCAGCCATTTTGTCCAGAAGTCCAACAACAATGCTAATCGAAACCATTTTACAACGAATCTGCATCTAGAGATCTGCTTGCTGTTAACATCACATGCTTTGTTACCTGACCTAGACCTGCATGTCTCTCCAAATGTATCTGTTCTTGGTTCAAAGAAATCTAAATGAATTGTTGTGGAATTTTTTCTCCCATGCCACTGTATTTATACATCTATTTTATTTCTCCTTTGGTGCCTGCCTCTTCTTCCTCTCCTCAGTTTTTCCCATCATTACTATGTGCACTGCTTTTGTCCTTACAATGGGACCAAAAATAATCATGTATCTTTCTTATAGCTGCTTGATCTAGATTAACATAACTCTTTGAGTCTCAGAGGGTTTAGCATCACAGGCCCAAGGCGTAGTCAAAAGAGATGTAAAATCAGTACATTGTGCATTCATTGGGCTTCTAGGCAGTAACCTATGAAGGTATGATGCATTCCTTGTGACTCAAAGCGTTAACAGACTCTTTTTGTCAACAAATAAGATTCAAATATCAGATAGCAAATTCTGCAGTGTCTTGTCAGGTACATACTACAGTAGAAATTGATTGAAGTGAAACACATAAATTAATCCTTCTAACTGAAAAAAAAAATCAACTACATTCAAAAGAACTGTTTGTTTCACCAAAACCAAAAGAACTGTTTGTTTCACCAAGACCAAAAGAACTGTTTGTTTCACCAAGACCAAAAGAACTGTTTGCTTCACCAAGACCAAAAAATCTGTTTGTTTCACCAAGACCAAAAGAACTGTTTGTTTCACCAAGACCAAAAGAATTGTTTGTTTCACCAAGACCAAAAGAACTGTTTGTTTCACCAAGACCAAAAGAACTGTTTGTTTCACCAAGACCAAAAGAACTGTTTGTTTCACCAAGACCAAAAGAACTGTTTGTTTCACCAAGACCAAAAGAACTGTTTGTTTCACCAAGACCAAAAGAACTGTTTGTTTCACCAAGACCAGAAGAACTGTTTGTTTCACCAAGACCAAAAGAACTGCTTGTTTCACTAAGACCAAAAGAACTGTTTGTTTCACCAAGACCAAAAGAACTGTTTGTTTCACCAAGACCAAAAGAACTGTTTGTTTCACCAAGACCAGAAGAACTGTTTGTTTCACCAAGACCAAAAGAACTGCTTGTTTCACCAAGACCAAAAGAACTGTTTGTTTCACCAAGACCAGAAGAACTGCTTGTTTCACTAAGACCAAAAGAACTGTTTGTTTCACCAAGATCAAAAGAACTGTTTGTTTCACCAAGACCAAAAGAACTGTTTGTTTCACCAAAACCAAAAGAACTGTTTGTTTCACCAAGACCAAAAGAACTGTTTGTTTTACCAAGACAAATGCAGGGTCATGACCATCACCTTTTGTCAACATAATTCTACTGAACCAGTTTATTATTACAGCTTCTGTTCAGGTGAATAAACGTCAAAATGCATTGTCTTTGAATACAGTGTGACCAGTATTAAAACAAAACATGCCAGGCGATAAATTGTGCAGACTGTTATTTGTGTCTTCTTTGTTCAAATTCAGAAAGGGAAAACATTGCTTTTAGACTCCTCATTGTTATCCTGATAAGCTGTTTCAGAGCAATTGTAGTGTAGTGGCCAGAAGGTTATCTACTGACCAAAAAGGTCTTGGGTCTGAATCCATTCTGGACAGAACTGGGGCCAAAAAAATTACTTTGGTCCCAGTCAATGCAGCCTAAAATTGATACCAGCAGATGTCCAGGGGGGAAAAATACAGCCAGGCTTATGTTGACCAAATCATCCATTAAGTGTTGACCACATCATCCATCAAGTGTTGACCACATCATCCATCAAGTGTTGACCACATCATCCATCAAGTGTTGACCACATCATCCATCAAGTGTTGACCACATCATCCATCAAGTGTTGCCCACACCATCCACCAAGTGTTGACCACACCACCCATCAAGTGTTGGCCACACCATCCATCAAGTGTTGACCACATCATCCATCAAGTGTTGACCACATCATCCACCAAGTGTTGACCACATCATCCACCAAGTGTTGAATGGTCTTTAAAAATATAAGCCTAGCATCATATGCCACTAGGGAGGAAAGGGTCTGTAAGCTATTTTACTTATATGACTGTATTCTCCAAATCTTCACCAGGAGAAGACATTTGCAAAGTTTGCTGCAGTATACTTCCAAAACAATGCCACACACAGACATATTCATAGGATTTTGAGACATCCATTGCTGAAGCTTGAAAGCAAAGGAGACCAACTGGTGAGTCTTAACAGTTTAGCTTTTATAGTGCCTTTTCTTCACCTAGATGCTGATGTTGGGTAGGACACACACTGAGAAAACCTAAGAACAATATAGCTAAAAGAGACTCACACTGGAACACACAGGGGCATAGAGATAAAGGCAGACCCAAAAACACATGGAGAAGGAAAAAACCAGTGAAGTTAAACCAGGAGGAAGACACGTGGTGAGCTGCTTGCAATAGTAAAGAATAGGATGATGCAGCATGAGTTGGTTGAGGCCATGTGTTTTGTGTTTGAGGATAGAGGGCAGAAGAAGAAGAAGAAGAAGAAGAAGAAGAAGAAGAAGAAGAAGAAGAAGAAGAAGAAGAAGAAGAAGAAGAAGAAGAAGAAGAAGAAGAAGAAGAAGAAGAAGAAGAAGAAGACGAAGAAGAAGAAGAAGAAGAAGAAGAAGAAGAAGAAGAAGAAGAAGAAGAAGAAGAAGAAGAAGAAGAAGAAAAAGAGGAAAGAAAGACCAAAATCTCAGGAGAAATGAACACCAATACTAACTGGAAAGGCACATAAAAATGAAGAGTGTCTGCAAAATGTCCCAAAGGGAGATGAAGAGGAAAAGATATCTTGTTCAGTGCTTGACCCAACACAGTAACTATTCTATATTCCATTTTTACTGAACAAATTTGCTCATTACTTATCCTTAGCAAAATAAAATCTTGCTTCTGTTGTTAATGTTTTGATGACAGAAATAATGAGTGACTGTTTATTGTTACAAATTATAGAACAAAGACTCATATGTCAATCTCCAGGCTGCTCTTGCTGTATGGGTTGTCATTCTGAGATTTATGTCTGATTTACCAGAACCCAGGGCATATGCCAACAAATCTGATACTAAGGTATGAAAACTACTGTAGTGTACTGCAAAGACCTGCCTGGTCTTTATGTGTGTAAACTAGAATGTTGTCTTGCTTGTTCTAACTTATGTCCAGTATTCACTCGATCCTTAAACAATCACAACTTTGCTGGGCAGGTCATATAGTCCGCATGCCTGACCACAGACTGCCAAAAAGAATTTTCTATGGTGAGCTACAAAAAGGAAAATGCTGTCAAGGTGGACAGAAGAAACATTTCAAGGTCAACCTCAAGACCTTACTGAAAGACTTCTGTATATAAAACTTGGGATGTCACTGCACATGACTGCTCATTCTGGCACTCCTCTCTTCATCGAGGAGCAGTGGCCCATGAAGCTGCTAGAACTGCAGCAACAATTCAGAAAAGACAAGCCAGATATGACACTGAAGCAAATCACCAGAGAGATACAGCCTCATTTACCTGTTCACACTGTTCAAGAACTGTCAGCCATCTGCACAATCACAAAACGTAATTCAGTCACCAATAGATGAAAAGACTGGTCAACATCACTTGTGATGTACAAACAACATAACAATAACTCATCTGAATGTTGAGTGTTGAGCTAAGAACTGACATCACAGCACTCAGGACATTCCCATAACTGCTCAGTTCTCATCTTCAGCAGCCAGCAATGAGTTCCAATTCAGATGGTACCAGTAGCAGTTTGATTATATGTCCTTCTTGCCGTTCCTCTGAGTGTCGAGTGTCACCCAGATATCCCAGTCACTCCCAGCTATACCAATCTCTCCAGACCATAATGATAAATTTGTGCCTCTGCAGTGTTACTTGCTCCCAAAGGGCCTTGATAACATCTAGTTTGTCATGCATAAATTCACCATCGATTGGTGCCGAACCAGCCAGTCTGTGCATTGAAAACTGTTCAGACTGACTGCTTAATTCCTGATAAATCAATCTTTCAAGATACGGATGATGAGAATACCCCTGGCAGGAAAATAAAAGAGTAATAAGGATGTCTTGAAGGAAATTGACCCACAAAGAGAATTGATTGTCCCACATCAATAGGGGAAAGCTAAAGTATGCCAAAGGAACAGAAAAGCTGCAGGGAAAGAAGAAGAGGAAGACCAAGAGAGAAAATGTTGGACAGTTTGGCATCATGGAGTGGATGAACATTTTAATCAGAAATAATTGGTAGTTACATGAGATGACATGTGATTGTGGACAAACATTTTGACCAACACCACATGGCATAAACTGAAGAAAGAAGATGATTTACTGTACAGAGAGAAAGAGAAACAAAGGAGCAAAGAAACATATTTTATTTTCAAAGAGTTCAGAATTGGACCCACATGGCTCACTAACCTTGTAATCTCCCGCCTTTCATAAATCATTTAATTCAATTATTTGTTAACAGGTAATAGTAAACATTACCAATCAAAGCTAAATATTAGATACAAGCACTGGAATGTGTTCGAATTACACCTACATTTCGAACCAAAATACTAGAGAACTAGAGACATATATGATATTTCTAAAAAGAGAGAGAAAGAGAGAAACAGATAGAGAGAGAGAGAGAGAGAGAGAGAGAGAGAGAGAGAGAGAGAGAGAAAAATAAGGGGAGGGGGAGAGAGTGAGGCAGGCAGGCAGAGATGTGCACACAAGAAGTATATCCATACATAGTTCAATAACTTTTTGTACCTTCTTTCGATTCATGACTCAGGGTGCACCAAATCTGCAGTTGGCCAATCAGGTGATGTCTACACAATAAAGGTTGGCTGCAATGGATTCCCAACATCTCTTTCTACCTGGGAGTGCACTCTTTCTGACTACTATTTGTCCATTCTTGATGCTATTCTTCCAATTGTATCACTGTCTGTTTCTTGTTCACTTCCCTTTAGTCTTTGCCTCTAGTATGTGTTTTTTTTTTTTCTTAATTCATATATTTTAAAATATTTATTTCTCTTGTTTCATTTTTATTTCCTTGAGCAACTTTTTTGTCCTTCCTAATGTCTTCAGAACATTTATACTTGATAATAACAATATCATACATATTAATTTGCTCAAACATATTTGTATATGAAAGATGCAGCTTCCTTAAATATCTGATTCCAGTCCAACACTCCAGTCATGACACAGATCTACTCTACTCTGGGACGCAAGTTTGGCAAGAAAGATTTGGAAGCAGCAATCAAGATGGGGGAACAAATGGTTTGTTTCATTATTTTAATTTTAAAAATTGTAATCAACATTACACCACATGTCTTTCATATGCTCAACTGTCTGTGTGGGTTCCGAGTCTCCATCTTAGAGAACAAAGAATAGATGCACTGCACACACCCCCCCACCCCCCAATAAGCTTGTCGCAGGAGGCAACTAATTAGAGGTGCTTCCTTCAAAGTCGGACTGCATCTGCTTGAGATCTCAGCAGGGAAATGATAATCTGCATACAAATAAGCCACATCTGTGACATGGATGTGCACACAAAACTCAAGTTTTAGATCAAGATCAAAGTCCAGAACTTTCTTTCAGAGTTTACAGCTGGTGAATGTAAAGAAGAAGAAAATATGCTCATTAGTTGTTGAAGTGTTGAGAATGTGTTTGATGCAATATTTTTTAAGATACATAAAAGTTTACCTGATTCATTTTCCTATTTTGAATTTCCCCAATAAAATGTCAGTTAGCATCTTGTGGTTTACAGCTAGGTTGTAATATCTATGCGTTTCTGCCCTTCACAATCAATTTGAGTAAACCCCTAATTAATCATCTTTTACAACATGCTTGTTAAAAGTGATAAACATGATAAGAAAAGAGCAAGGGAAGACAAAAAAATACTTGGATGACTTAGCCACATGGTATCAATGGGACATCAACAGAGAGCTGATCCAAGATTATTGGATAATGAGATAACTGTAGTTTCAACTTCATAGCAATTTAATCACCCGATAGTTGTTCCCTTCTGGTACCAATGAAAACCACACAGAATGTCCATCACTGTCCCTTGTGATAAGACTGACAAAGACTGCAGTCTCGGTAAAGTCAATAGCAAACACACTCATTAAATGCATTAGGCAGCCATTAGAAGTGCCAACACAAACAGCCCAGTACTAGAAACACCATTTATCATCAATGGAAGTTGCAGTTACAACAGATCAGCAGTTGCATAGGCAATAAATCGCATTAGGCATCATACCTGATCTGAGACCGATGACTGTGTGAGATCGTCTCATGCCAATTCATAGATATGAAATCATAGGAATTTAAAGTATATTATAGGATTACAATATACGCTTTCTAAATTAGAAGTTTCCACTCATGTTAAATTAATTCAAAGCTTAATGGTAATATTAGCTGAAAAACATTTACTCATAACAAAGATCTGATTTTTTAGAAGAATACCGAAATAAAAATGATAAAAAATTAAATGAAGCAGTACTCCTTGAGGCAGACAAAAATTGTAAACTGGTTAGATAAATTAAATACAGACAGTTGCTGTTTTTGGGACATGTTATGAGAAGGAAAATACTTGAGAACTTAGTGACGCCTGGCAAAACACTGACATGATCTATGATTCAGGTGATTGTATAAGATAGCGCAACATGACAGCCTATGCTTATCAGCATGGTACATGATGATGATAAATTTTAACATTGCATAAGAGAGGCATAGTAAGATTTAGGAAGTGAAGGTTAATGAATATGCAGGCTAATTATCAACTTGACTTGGTAAATTACTACTGTGTGTCATATTTCAAGTAATTAACATGCAACTTAACTCTTTCATGACAACATTTTTCCCGGGGTTTGGACAGCATTAATTTTGAGCGGAATTTTTTTTTTACTGCAGCACGACAAAGCTAAATCCTTCCTGAAGAAAAAAGTATTCGCTGTATCGGGACATATAATATATCAAATTAAAGATAAATCAGTGTAGAATAAATCTAAACTTCTTAAATGTCAGTATAACAACAAAATATTATTAAAATCACACAGCATTCAAGGATGTTAGATCAAGGATGTCTCTATCATGATCCAGTAAACTGGCTATACCTCTTTAAGGGATAGACTTAGTCACCAGTAAACTGGCTAAATGTCTGTAAAGAGTTAAGAGGTGGTCAACATTTAGAGGCAGTCTTCCACTGAAAATATGGGATGATCATCAAATCAGTGAAAATAAGGTCCACATTTAGAGGTTTAACCTCACAGCCTCATTGTTGTATCAGTTAAGTAACTCAAAGCTAACACTGATACAGCATTCATTCATCATTAAAGTTCATATACAAAAGAGGTTAAAAGAAATAGATAGTATTCCCAGTTAGTTTTATATGACATTGCGCAGCCTCATTGTTGTATCAGTTAAGTAACTCAAAGCTAACACTGATACAGCATTAATATATAATTAAAGTTCAGATACAAAAGAGGTTAAAAGAAATAGATAGTATTCCCAGTTAGTTTTGTATGTCATTGCGCAGCCTCATTGTTGTATCAGTTAAGTAACTCAAAGCTAACACTGATACAGCATTAATATATAATTAAAATTCAGATACAAAAGAGGTTAAAAGAAATAGATAGTATTCCCAGTTAGTTTTGTATGACATTGCGCAGCCTCATTGTTGTATCAGTTAAGTAACTCAAAGCTAACAGTGATCCAGCATTGATTCATAATTATAGTTCAGATACATTTAAGGAGTTAAAATACAATAAATGCTCAAAGGTAATGATGATCATGTCTTAAAATACCAACTTCTACTCATGCTGGTTTTCCAGGAAAAAGAAGCATTTGAAGGTAATGCGGCCTCTCGAAAAAAATTGGTTTCCTTGACTTTAAAGAAAACTTCAAAATTTGATGAAAATATGGCCACTCAGCTGCAACATGGTGGTGACCGTGAAATCAATGGAGGAGGGAATGTCTTGTTAGATGACCGGCCAATGTCAAATCTGGAAAAGCTGCACTTTATTATTGGACATGGTATTCTGAGACCTGAACTCAGGTATGTTAGAAACTGTGTTTGGTTTGTGTTGCAGAAATGTGAAAGGGACACTGTATAACTTCTTCTTATGTTCACCAGCTGTAAACTCTGGCAGAAAGTTCTGGTTGTTCGTCAGATTCTAGAAATGATTGAGGGGGAAGGGTGCATCAGTGGGCTTCCCCCCCCCCCTCCCTTCCCCCCTTTCTGCCCTCTCCTAAAATGGGACCCCTGCAACCACACTGTGAAGAATCATTTGTGACTTTCACAGTTCTGGGAGCTGCAGTGGTTTAATGGCTAGAAGCTCGCTTGCAGATTGAAAGTCGTGGGTTCCGGTTCTGCGTGAAGCCAGACTTGTTTAAAAAATGAGCTTGGCTCCCTGATCACCCTGGACCTGGTGGTCAATCAACTGTCTGATCTTGCAGTCAGTGGAAGGTTGTCTAAACTTTCTCTCTGAAGCTTTTTTACCATGTTGTTTTGCTTAATTGATGACTTTTAACTTGAATTTGGCAGAATATGACAATCTTTTTTATTTTCTTCATTTATCAACGGCTAGTGCTGAAAAAACCCTGTTAATGCAGTACTCTGTGAAGTTAGGGTAATGGCAACTCAGTGAGTGCTGGGAGACAGCAGTTCCCACAATACAGCAGGTGGTGAGAGTGCATGCTGGGACATTGCAGCCTTATTCTCTCTGATCCCATTTCAGCCCCCATAAATATCAGAAAGCAAGAACTTTCTTATTACAAACATTACAGCCTAGAGCGACTGCTCCTATCAGCTCAGTATAACGTAACGCCCCTGTAGTTACAGCTCCAGCTCTCACATGTTTGCTGCACTTTTATCTCAGTGTTTAGGGTATGTACTGTATGTACTGTATTCACTTCATGACCTCAGGCAGATGCGAAAGCTGATCAAGGGGCAGTGTCTGCCGGACCTGCTGGAATGTGTGCTTGGGGAATAGGGGGTCTGGGTAGCCAGCTGGCAGCTGAGGGAACCAGATGGAAGGGTCAGTCTCTGAAGTTAGGTCTGCTGTAAGAGTGTATCAGACCAAGGCTTGTCATGAGGCCAATAGTGAGGAGAAGCTATGGAGAAAGAAAATAGATAGTGACATGTATTTATTTATTCATTTATCATACCAGCACCATCAGTATTGGAAATATGCGCTGGCTGCTGAAGATGAGGACGGAGCATGCATGGGAATGCCCCAAGTGCTGTGATGTCAATTCTTGACGCAACTTAACTTATGTATTTATTTATATATTCAATTGCAACATGCCTTGTATAATGTTACCCCCCAGTTTTTAACTTTAAAGACTTGGGAAAATATGCTGCCTTATACATGGAAAAATATGGTAATAAAGTGTGTCTGGTTTCGGTCCTGGTCTTCTAATTGCTTCAGTTTTAATTGTATCTCTCTTTTACTGAGTCTTAATGTAGGATGCAATGTTTTTGTGTTAAAGCCCAACCCTGGCTGTTGCCAGGGGCACTAGTATAACCCAATCTATGAGTTGAACAGGGTTTCTGGGACCTGTCCACAGGTGAACATCATCCAAATGGGGGAACTTTTTTGTCACCAGGTGTTTATCGCTTGGTGTGATGTCCTGATGTGGTTGAATGTTGTCATCATCATCTTCCTTATTACTTCAGCAGCTCTTCTAAGACATGAAGACACCTTACCAACATATGTGTCAAAATGACAAAAATGTCAGACCTCATATATTTCTTCTCTTTCCTTGTACCAGAGATGAGATCTACTGCCAGATCTGTAAACAGCTCACTGACAACTACTCTAAAAGTTCTTATGCTAGAGGTTGGATTTTGCTCTGCTTGTGTATCCGATGTTTCCCTCCCTCGGACAAGGTAATTGTACATGGTAAATCCATATATATTCCGCAAAATTAAATTATTTCTACTTTTCTACATATTAACTTTTTCTGTCACAAGCAGCTAACACTTTCTATTCCAAGGCGTTAAGCTTAAAAACAATAAATATTTAGGCTTAAAGGAGTTTAACATAGAGAAAAAAGTAAACGATTAAATTCATAAAATGGGGGTTAATAAAAAATTCTTCATGATAGAAGCTAGCTAGTAAATGATATTATCATTGGAATAATCAAGAAATACATGATAAGTTGTTTGTTGCTAAAAAAAAAAAATTTTACACACACCCACATACACACACATATGTGTATACACACACATACACACATGATAGGGCTTCAAATGAAAACTGTACATGTGTGATAGCAATTACAGTACCCATGACCTCATCTTGTAACCTGTCAGTATTGTTCTTAAAGATGTCAAGATTATATAAATATAAAGCACATGGCATCATGGTGAGATCGGACGCCGGTGTGTATTGTTACGCATATAAAAAATTCCTTGGCAGTTAAAAATCGAAAAGAGTAGCCAAATGCGCTGTCTGGGCAAAATTTGAAGTTTAAAATCCACCCAAAGAATTTCAGGATCCTTGTTGGTGCTACAGAGCCTGTGCACTGTGCTGAGCTTCTTCATACTGAGACTTGAATTAGAAGAAGAACGGCTCAAACCTCGATCTGTGCAGTTGCATTCTGTGCCTTTTGCCTTGCAGTTTGCTTAGCTTCCTTAGGCATTATCATCATAATTTATATCAGTTTCTAAAATTATATTTGATCTATTTATTATATTAATAATAGTAGTTTTCACATTAATAATATCATGTTCGATTCTCAGGGTTGAATGTTGAATTAAGAATCGACATGACAGTACTTGGGACACTTCAATAAATGCTCAATCCCCATCTTCAGCAGCAAGTGAAGAGTTCCAACACTGATGGCACCAGTAGTTGTCTGATTGTACATGGGTCTCACCTTTCCCTTGAGTGTTGAGTATCGGCCAGATTCCCTGATAACTCCCTGCATTGCCATTCTCTTCAGACCAAAATGATCTGTTTGTGCCTGTTCACTGTTCATGCATTCTCATAAGTCCCTTACAGCATCTAGCTTGTCATACATCAGTTCACCACCAAGTGGTGTTGAACTGGCCAGTCTATTTGCCTGCTCATTTCCCAACACACCAGCATTACCTGGAGAGAATATCCAATGGATGCTATCTACCTAGAACCTCTGAAGTGATTCCTGCCACTCTGCATGAAGCATTCCTGTCTCCACCATTGTCAAAATATTCTGTGAGTCAGTTACAATTATGACATGTGTGTACATCATATGCCAGGCTTTGATGCACTAAGCGAGAATTTCTTACTTACTTTTCTTAAGGTTATAACTAGGATATACAGGGTCCATTCTATTTTCAGCATATGTTTTTGCTATATTATTTATCTTATTTCTTTTAATTTCTTTTAGTTGTATGTTTAAGTTATATTACATTATATTTCTTTTATTGCAAACATCCATAGCTGTCACCTTACCTCTTCAACTTCATTAAAGAAGGACCCACAGGATATGGCTCTTACTGCCTGAAACATTTGGAACGAACTTTGCTCAATGGACCAAGAAGCCAGCCACCAACTTGGCTTGAGCTGGAGGTAAGCAATATAAAATCAGAAAAACAAAAGGCAGTAAACAGTAAGCAATATAAAATTAGGCAAATGATAAGCAGTAAAAGTAAGTAATATAAAATTAGGAAAATGATAAGCAGTATACAGTAAGCAATATAAAATAAGGAAAATGATAAGCAGTAAACAGTAAGCAATATAAAATTAGGAAAATGATAGGCAGTAAACAGTAAGCAATATAAAATTAGGAAAATGATAAGCAGTCAACAGTAAGCAATATAAAATTAGGCAGATAATGAGCAGTAAACAGTAAGCAATTTAAAATTAGGCAAATAATAAGCAGTAAACAGTAAGCAATATAAAATTAGGAAAGTGATAAGCAGTAAACAGTGAGCAATATAAAATTAGGAAAATGATAAACAGGTATGAGCTTGAGTTGATATCCATCATAAAGCATTCTGGGATTGAAATTGTTCTAGAACAGTGGTTCTCAACCTTCCTCATGCTGTGATCCTTTATTACAGTTCCTTATGTTGTGGTGACCCCCAGCCATATTATTATTTTTGTTGCTTCTTCATAACTTCAGTGAATATGTGTTTTTTGATGGTCTTAGGTGACCCCTGTGAAAGGGTCATTCAATCCCCAAATGAGTCGTGACCCACAGGTTGAGAACCACTGTTCTAGAAGATCTAGAGAAACACATGGACATCAATAGTTTATATTAAAAGTCCCAGTTCTATGGTCTGAAGTGAACATGGCATTTTCTTAATCATATTACAATTGACCCTCTTACCCCACACATTTACCATAGAATAGTTTGAGCTTTGAACTTTAGACTAGACACAGTTTAAAGTAGTTGTGTGCAATAGTTATGAACTCCATTGCTATTATTGTGGAAGACTTGTCTTATCACAGCCAGATCTTACTAACCACACTCACTATCTCCACAGATTGTGATTCCACCGTCTCCCATAACATCGCCTGAAAAGATTGAAAGGCGCCAACTAACCATGTACAAATATAATATAATACAATACAAACTTTCTCACTGTTTATGAGACAAGATATAAATAAATTCTTCTTGTAAAAAGATGAAAAATTACAATCATCTGCCAATTGTAGTAATGTATCTGTGATTGATTTTGTTTCCAGGCAACCAAAGCCAAAAAGGACATGTCACTGACTATCAATTTCATGGACGGAAACTCCAGAACTCTTTCAGTAGACTCAGCTACCACTGCCAAGGAACTTTGCCAAAAACTATCAAATGAGATTTCACTGAAAGACCAGTTTGGGTTTTCACTTTTTATTGCTTTGTTCGACAAAGTAAGAAATTATCGTGTTTCACAGTTCACATCTTATGTATTAATTTGAATGAACTTGTTTATTATTATCTTTCTTGCACCATTTTCTCTAAAGACCTCATCTTCATAAAAAAAAAAAGTAATCTAGCAGATATATTTCATGTGTCATTAATCAACAACACATTCATAACTGATGTTGTGTGTCATAGGTCTCATGAATCAACAACATACACATGAATGATGCTGTGCCTCAAAGGTCTTGTAGATCAACAACATGCACAAGAATGGTGCTGTGTCTCACAGGTTTTGTAGATGAACAACATACACAAGAATGATGCTGCGTCTAACAGGTCTTGTAGATCAACAACATACACATGAATGATGCTGTGTCTCACAGGTCTTGTAGATCAACATTCACATGAATGATACTGTGTCTCACAGGTCTTGTAGATCAACAACATACACATAAATGATGCTGTGTCTCACAGGTCTTGTAGATCAACAACATACACATGAATTATGCTGTGCCTCAAAGGTCTTGTAGATCAACAACATACACATGAATGATGCTGTCTCACAGGTCTTGTAGATCAACAACATACACAAGAATGATGCTGTGTCTCACAGGTCTTGTAGATCAACAACATACACATAAATGATGCCGTGTCTCACAGGTCTTGTAGATCAACAACATACACATAAATGATGCTGTGTCTCACAGGTCTTGTAGATCAACAACTTACACATGAATGGTGCTGTGTCTCAAAGTCTTGTAGATCAACAACATACACATAAATGATGCTGTGTCTCACAGGTCTTGTAGATCAACAACTTACACATGAATGGTGCTGTGTCTCAAAGTCTTGTAGATCAACAACATACACATAAATGATGCTGTGTCTCACAGGTCTTGTAGATCAACAACTTACACATGAATGGTGCTGTGTCTCAAAGTCTTGTAGATCAACAACATACACATCGATGATACTGTGTCTCACAGGTCTTGTAGATCAACAACATACACATCGATGATGCTGTGTCTCACAGGTCTTGTAGATCAACAACTTACACATAAATGATGCTGTGTCTCACAGTCTTGTAGATCAATAACATACACATAAATGATGCTGTGTCTCACAGGTCTTGTAGATCAACTTACTTTACTTTACTTTACTTTTTCCTTCCACGTATGCCGCTAAGCGTTGTGGGGAGATGCAAGTTCCTGTCATAAGCAAGGCGGGCAGCATCTGATGTTCTGAGGCCATGCTTTTGGCAGGTTTCGGAGACCCCGTCAATCCACCGTTTCCTTGGTCTTCCTCTTGCCTTATATCCTGAGCTTCTTTGGTTGAAAATTTGTGATGTTATTTGGTCATTTTTCATCCTGGTTAGATGTCCAAACCATTTCATTCTTTGATGTTCTATGTAGTCTAAACATGGTGTAGTTTTGACAGTGTTTCTAATGTCTATGTTCTTTATCCTGTCTAGTCTGGTCTTATTCGCTGCTTTTCTTAGACATTTCATTTCACAGGCTTCTATTTTTCTTTCATGGGTCTTGTTGATTGTCCATGTCTGGCACTGGTAGCAGAGTGTTGGAATGAAGATGGTGTTTATCAATTGTCTTTTGGTCTTCATGGTTATATCTGGATGTTTAAGCAGAGGTGATAGTTGGTATGTGACAGCATTTGCTTTCTGTATTCTTGTTTCTATCTCTCTGTCCATTCTTCCATCCTCTGTAAATATACTGCCCAAGTATTTGAACTCTTTGGTTTGCTTGATTTTGGCACTTCCAACATTTATATTCAGTGGCCTGTGTGTTCTGCTGATCTTCATAACTTCTGTTTTTTCTGTACTGATTTTCATATTATGTTGTAAACAGCTGTTGTTGAGAGTAGTCAGATGTTCCTGTAGATCATATTCATTTTGATACAGTATGCTTTGATCATCAGCAAAAAGTAATTCGTTTATAGCATACACGTCTGGGTTTGCTTCTACAGTGATCTTATCCATGTATGTTATGAAAAGTAATGGTGACAGTACACATCCTTGTCTGACACCAGTTGTGACTTTGAACCATTCAGAAAGACCACTAGATGTTCTTACTGCACTTTCACTTTTTTCATAGAGGGCTCTGATGTTGTCTAATAATTGACCCTGCACTCCGTAATCGTCAAGAATTCTCCACAGCACATCTCTGTCCACACGGTCGAATGCCTTCTCTTGATCTACAAAGACCACGTTCAGCTCTTTATCGTATTCGAGTGTCTTTTCACAGACTTGTCTTAGTGCAAATATGGCATCAGTGCAACCTCGCCCTTTCCTGAAACCGAATTGTGCTTTACTCAGTAGAGGTTCAACCTTTGCTCTTATTCTACCTTCTAAGATCTTTGCATACATTTTCCCCACATGACTTAGTAAAGATATTCCTCTATAAGTTCCACATTCTCTCTTGTTTCCTTTTTTCTTCCAGATAGGTACTACAACTGATCTTTGCCAATCCACTGGTACCTTTCTCTCTGCCCATGCTCTATTGAAAATTCTCTCCAGCCAGGTGATCATAGTGTCCCCTCCAGCCTGGATGACTTCTGTTGTTATTCCGTCGATACCAGCTGCTTTGTGTCTTTTACTTGTTTTGATAACTTTCTCTACCTCATCCCGCAGGATATGTGGTTCTAGATGATCTGGAGCCCTTGAATGGAATTCTGCTGTTTCATGTACTCCCGACGGGTTCAAAAGTTCTTAAAAATATTCCTCCCATCTTTTTTTAATTTCTTTTTGGCTGAATAATGGTTTTCCATTTTTATCATTTATGACTGATGTTGGATTGAAGCTTTCTTCTCTTAATCGCATCGCTTTCACACTCTTATAAAAGTCTCTTGATGATTCTGTACATAGCTGTGTTAGGTGTTCACCATACTTTTTCCATGAGTCCTCTTTTGATTTCTTTATTGTTCTCTTGGTGTCTCTTCGAGTTAGTCTGTACCTAATGTAATCCTTTTCGTCTTTTGTTTTTAACCATATTTGAAACATCTTCTTTTTATTTGACACTGCTTCTTTGACTTCTTCATTCCACCAAGCGGTACCCTTTTTCTTGCCTTTGCCCGTCTTTCTGGTGCCACACTTGTCTTTTAATATCTTCGTGATGGTTGATTTATAATAATCCCATTCTTCTTCAATTCTTACTGGTTCCTTGGCAATATCTGCAAAAGCCTTTGTTATTTCTAGTTCAAATTCATGTTTGATATTCTCTTCCTCTAATTTCTTAGTGTTGATGATTTCTTCACGTTTCTGTTTATGTAGACTGTTTCTACTTGAGTTGCATATGTTCATAACTACTGGGCGATGGTCTGAATCCAGTCCCGCATTTGGGACAGCTTTTGAGTCTCTTACCTTCCTCTTCTGCCGTTGTCTGACTAGTATAAAATCAATTTGTGACGCTTGATCTAAGTTGTTCCACTTGTACCACGTTTTAACCTGACTTTGGCGATGTTGGTAGAATGTGTTGGTAATGTAGAGATCTTGTTCAGCACACAAGTTTAGCAGGTGTTCTCCATTTCTATTGCAATCTGTGGTTGTGTCGCTAAATGGGCCAAGGTATCTCTCCCATGGTGATCTTCTTTTACCTACCCTACCATTAAAATCTCCCATTACTATGATGTCCTCTTTCTCTTTAACATTATTGATGGTGTCCGTAAGTCTCTCGTAAAAGTCTTCTTTTTCTTCTTCAGAGTAACTATCATTACAAGGTGCATATATCTGAATAATCGTTGTAGTTTTACTTCCTTCTGTCAACTTGATTAAAATAATTCTTTCTGATATAAATTCTGTTCCTGTTATTAATTTTGCTGTCTCGGGATGAAGTATAAATCCGACACCATGTTTTGCCCTATCTTTAGTGGGTACTCCGCTCCATACTAAAACATAATTTTCATGTATTTCTTTTGTATTATATCCTTTCTTTCTTGTATCCGCAAGACCCATGACGTGTATATTTTTTCTTTTCATGAAATCCACTATTTGTGGCTCTTTGTTGGCAATACCACATATGTTCCATGTGCCTATGTAAGTCGTTTTTCTGTCTCGTCGTCCTTTAACGTTTCCAGTCCATTTTCCGTTTGGGGCTATCCGTTTATTTATCTCCTTTCTAATTTTCGTAGCAATAAAAAATCCACTGCCGGCTTGCTAGGCCAGTCGCAGTTTAAGGGAAAATCTGACCAGATGGACCCCATCCCATCTGGCGAGCCAGAGCCTCGTTCGCCTGTGGCCTCACGGCCACAGTTTCCCGGTCTGCACCACTGGGAGGAGAGGTTGACTTATGTGTACTGTGGGTCATCGGCAGGCTACTAATTTTCACTTTTCACCTCTCCTAAGAGAAGCTAGCCGACCCCAACCCTGCTGGATGCAGAGCCAGGCACAGTCCACATCTTGCAGACCTTGTAGATCAACAACATACACATAAATGATGCTGTGTCTATCAGGCATCATAAATTACTGATATACACATGAGTGATGCCGTATATTGCTGTATATCATAAGTGAGGTCTACCATTTGTGGAGCTACCTTGATCTTTATCCTGGGAAATGTGGACATTGCTGGCAATGAAAGAGCTGATAAATTGACTTGCTCTGCCAAAGTTACAAAAGGCTGTCTTATGATTCATAGCAAAATTGATAATACCCAGAGAAAGAGAGAGAGAGAGAGAGAGAGAGAGAGAGAGAGAGAGAGAGAGAGAGAGAGAGAGAGAGAGAGAGAGAGAGAGAGAGAGAGAGAGAGAGAGAGAGAGAGAGAGTGAGATGAAAATCAAACGATTTTAAGGGCAATACATTCTCACTGCTGCTAATAATAAGACAATTGGGAGAGTAAAGATCAACGCATCAAGACAGAAATCCTGTCGACCAGCATAGCACTGGTGCTATGAAGAATAGTACATTGATATATAAGCTGAGGAGGGAATATGAGCACTTATAAATATGTCTGGAGGACCGATACACATGATGCTATGTACTGCAGGACTTATGAATCAACAAGATCATCATGACTAATGCTGAAGGCACACCTAACAAAGCAACAACACATTCATGAATGTTGTCATTCTTCTTCTTCGCGTTCAGTTTTGTATGCTCATCTGGTGGATTGCCTATGTGAACTCGCATGTCAGCTGCAGGTCCTTCAAAGTTCCCCATAGCTTGCTCTGCACTTTGTGTTCTTGAGGCCAGGTTTCTTTTTGAAGTAGTAGGCAGAGTTGGCAGGTCTGAAGAATGTGCTCAGGTGTTTGTGGTCCTGTTTGACAGGCACTCTATGGGGACTGAAGTCTTTATTTTATGCATGTGGTGGTTAAGCCTGCAGTGTCCTGTTCATGGACGGAAAATTGTTGAATGTTGCTTTCTGTTGAGTCTGCTGATGGGGTCTTGTGGATGTTTACTGTTGGTTTGTTCTCTTCACAATTCCTTGTATTTTCCCCTGAGAAGTGTTCTGATTTCTGGTAATGACAATGAATGGGTGTGTTGTTCTCCTTTGTTCCATTTTTTGCATCTGTCTGCTATCTAATTTCCTGGTATGCCGCAGTGAGCTAGGATCCACTGGAGAATGATTTGATTGTTTTTTGAGAGTCTAGCTGCGGGTCAGTTCTCTCTCCATGTTGTCTCATGGATCCCTCTGAGTTGCCTGGAGGACTGATGTCATTCATATATTTCAGGTCTCATCCCTAGGAAGTGGAGAGGACCATGTGATGGACGCCATCTCCCAATGTGAGCAGTATGCTAAAGAACAGGGAGCACAAGAACGCAATGCCCCATGGAAGCTGTTTTTTCGCAAAGAAATCTTCACACCTTGGCACAACACAGCTGATGATGCCACAGCTACCAATTTAATTTACCAACAGGTAAGTTCTTGTGTGAAAGCCGTGGATGTGTGGTGGGTAGACATTCTCCTGCGAGCCCAAAGGCCTTGAGTTTGAGTCCATAGTGAGATGGATTTGTTCAAAAGTGACCTTGACTCCAAGGTAAACCCTGCCTAAAAACGGCCAGGTAATTTCCAGGACAAAGCACCAACATCCTGCATGATTTAGGCATCGAGAATTGGCTCAAAAACAGCATCCTGTCCTGAGAGCTGAGGTATGTTGGCCTGCTAAACGTCATAGTGGCCTGGAGAGTATAATATCTGGAAAACCAGGTACAGACAGACCTCTGTGAATAGGGATGCAAGGCATTGAAGATGCATTTGCTATGAATGCACATAAGGCTGGAAAATTGGCTATAGAAAGATAGACTAGCAGGCATGCTGTGACTAGAACAATGCTCTGTAAAGGATCTACAGACTGATGATGATAATGTCCTAGGAAGTAAAGGCAGCCAGCTCGATGTTGACCACATCAACCACCAAGCAACTGTCAAAGGAGTCTATCATCATATGCCACTAGCATGGAAAGGTTGTTTTCCTTCAAGTTCTCTTGTGCTGTCCTAGAGGTCATATGTTTATATTGCTATGGATTTTGTAATCTTCACATTCAAGTTTTGTTCATTCATTCATAATCCTATTGTGCCATTATGTGTCATATAAGGTTCACAGTCTATTTCTCCATGCCATTCTATCCTGTGTGATAAATTTAGTATCATGGATGGACTCCATTCCAGCAGTTTTGGTCTCTCTCCCCAACGCTTTTCTTAGGGTTACGTTTGGATGTTCTTGTCTCTTTAATCCCTTTAATTCCCATTTTGATGCCTGTTTGGTGATTCTCTGCTGGTTTCTTCTCAGGATGTGTCTAAAATAGCACCATCTTCTCTGTCTTATAACTGTTGATACTAATGGTTTCCCAGACATTTTTCTTATATTTGTTTACTCCTTTTGAATACATCCCATTTTATTTTCATCATTTTTCTCAGAGATTATTTTTTTTTGAATGTATTTAACTTTCACTCCCTGTCTTGAATGATTCTCCAGCTTTCACTTGCGTTTGTTAAAACTGAAATTACATTAGAATTGAAAATACGTAACCTGGTTTTAAAACTATACAATTTAGAATGTCATATTTTGTTCAAGCTATTAAAAGCTGCTGATGCCTTGCTAATGCTTGTCATAATTTATTTCTTTGTATTTCCTTTCTCTGTGTGGGTTCTGGGGCCCTATAATAGGGAAAACAAGAATAGACCCACTGCCTACCCAAAAGCATGTCGTATGAGTCGACTAATTGGGAGCTTCCTCTGAAGTCAGAGTGCATTTGCCTGAGAGGCAAGGAACCAGCAGTCTGCATACAAATAAGCCAGATCTGTAAAACGGATGCACACACAACACTCAGCTTCTGGAACAGGACTGCAGTTGAGAAGTGGATGAACAACCAGAACTTTTTGCCAGAGTTTACAGCTGGTGAACATGTTTTTTCTCTGCCTTTATTCCTCTGATCCTGTTGGTTCCAGTGCAAAAACACTCTAGTTATATTGTTTTCAGGTTTTCTTGTGTGCGTCCTATCCAACGCCAGTGCTGTGTCCTCACTTCTTATTGTTGGAATAAGGTCATTTCTCATCACATCATTGTAATTCACAATCTCCAATGTGATGAAGTTTGCGTAATACTTTATATACACAATGATGGTAAAGATTTGGGTCAGCCTTTAGATTAGAGAGGGTGTGGAGTTGTGGGTCAGGGAATGCTCTCTCTCTCTCTCTCTCTTTCTCTCTCTTTCTCTCTCTTTCTCTCACTCACACAGGCACTCACACACACACAGAGAGAGAGAGAGAGAGAGAGAGAGAGAGAGAGAGAGAGAGAGAGAGAGAGAGAGAGAGAGAGAGAGAGAGAAAGTGGGTACCTGTATTTTCAATAAAAATGAGTATCCTTTACTACTTGTTTTGCAAATACATTATTATCACTCCAGAATTGGGAATCTGTTCTCTAAAAATCCATGTGTTTTGCAAGACATAACCAGTCACATATTCTTCATTCCATTAACTCAATATAAATCTTTCTCAGGTTGTTCGTGGGATAAAATCTGGAGAGTACAAGTGTGACAAGGTAACTTACTAGTATTCTCTTACTGAAACTCTTTCTGTGTAAATTAACAATGGATTCACAGTCACAAATCCCAACAGAATGTATTTTTGTTTCTTTTAAGTATTCAGAATCAAGAAATGCACCATTCTTTTGCTGGTTTCTTATATTTTTATAATTCCTTGTGGACTTCTGGCCTAAAATGGCGGAGGCATGGCAGGGTGTTACACTTTGAAATTGTTTTTGCCTCTGACAATGTTTTGCTGGTGCAGTTTTCACATGCGGATGGTAGTCTACGGTTTTGCTGTCCGAGCTACTGAGTTTAGTGCTTGGTGCAGCCCTGCGAGCTGTGTGTTTCATGTGGAATGCCTTTCATTTGTGAAGCGGTTGTGTTGTGGTGTTCAATATGGCTGGTAGTTGGTTTACATGTGAGTGGAATACCTTTTATAGTAATTCTATGTATGTATGGCCAGCTGCATTTCTAGTGGCTACTGTTGGCGTTTTGGCACCTCCGGCAACTGAAATGTGCACTTGCTGCTTGCGCTTATTTCTGGATTGTTCTGGGGCTAATTGTTTGTTCACCAGTTTTTCAAACGCCACAGTGAGGGACATTTCATTTAATTTGCACTGGCACAGGAAGGGAGCAAGTAAAAAGAAACTTTGACTAAGACTAATTCCTTGTACCACATCCAGTTAATACATCAACCTACTCTGACCCTGTTTATTACTTAAAATCAGTGTCTCATGGTGTTGCAATCTATACTCCTTCAGAACAAACATTTATTAGTTTCTTAGGAAACAGTAAATGAAATAACGGCTATCTTCCAAATAACGGTCCCAAATTATCGAGGCCGAAAATATACCCAAACAGGGCCTCAGTCACGTGTCAATTATGGACTTCTGGTGACTTACATTGCGCACTTCCAGTGACTGCTGCCACCGCCGAGAGTATCTCCTATGCCACTACGGGCTGCGTGGATTGGGACTAAACTAGATGGCTGGGACTCATGAGCAGCAGCTACTGCATCTCCTGCAGCTTCCTTCATTTCATTTGCTAGTGAGTCCCAGCCATCTAGTTTAGCCCCAATCCACGCCGTGCGTAGCAGCATAGGAGATACTCTCCACGGTGGCGGAAGTCTGCAATTGACATGTGACTGAGGCCCTGTTAGGGTATATTTTCGGCCTCAATAATTTGCAACCGTTATTCGGAAGATAGCCAAAATAACACATCTCTGACTTTGAAAGAGTTAACCATTTTGCCTGGGGGGAAAAAAAGGTCAAAAACTCCCAGGGTGAATTTGCAGAAAAATCCATAAAGTAACAACAATATTACACAGGTCACAAATCAATGTTTACAGTTTTTTAATCAACAGATGTAAAAGCTTGTCCCAAATATTTAACGATTTATAAATACCACTGGTGTATATCAAAAAGTGTTCCTTTACATAATTTTATTTTTTCTTTCTCTGTTTCTTTCCCATTGGAGCCTAAACCTTCAGCCATCTCATTTGGATCATTTCTATCCTTTGCTATCAATACAAAGATAGAAGGACACACTAGACAAAATAAAAATTGAAAGCTATAGTTATCATACTGGTAACTAACAGGTATGATTCCAGGCAGGGTAAATAAAGCTTTAATATTTATGTTGTCTGGTATGTTCTATCTTTCTAACTCTTTCTATGAGAACTTAACAATACATTGTCTCTTATTATATATATTTTTAATTAGTCAACGTTTTTGGGGTCTCAAAATAGGGCCCTAGAATTCACATGGAGCGGCCTGATGTAATATTGTTATTTTACTTTCTGAAAACTTGCTCATGAATGACTGGATGTTGCAGATTATGCACAATGTTCTTGTTCTTTCACAGGAGGATGATCTAGCCATGATTATATCCCAGCATTATTTTGTGGATCATGGTTTGAACCTAGATCCCCAGCGTCTGTTGTCTGTGCTTCCATCTTATCTTCCAGACCCCTACCTGCACAAGCCTAATGCACTACAAGGGTGGATGAAGGCTGTCACTGGGAAGCTAACAAATCCATACTTTCAACAAGTTGATTCCCTTCGGGTGAGAGTGGAGTCTACATTCTGATCTTTTCTTCTGCCGTTTTTTTTTCCTTCTAAATTTAACTCTTTCAATGCAATATGTCCTGTTGAATATACTATGTGTTAATTATTTAAATAAATTATCTCAGCGCTATTCAGCTGGCAGCCCATGGGCTGAATTTGTCCTGCAGAAGACTTTTAAGTGGCCCATGGATCATTGCCAGTTGTACTGTATTCATTACTTTTTCTATGCTGGGGCTCTGACCTCTGACCCGTGATGACCCCTATTTTCATTCTAAGTAAACTTAGTTGAATAGCCCGGGATATTATGCTTATCAAAACTGAGTTTATGCAGTGTATAGCACATGTCTAAACAGCATTAAAAGTCTGTGATTAAGCCCCAGTTAGGAAATCAAATCACAAATTTTGAGAGCATGCATCTTCCCTGTAGCAACATATGAATGTGAGCCGTGGACTATCTCTGAGTCCTTAAGAAAGAAAATAGGGGCTTTTGAGCTGAAATGCTAAAGAAAGATTCTCAGAATTCCATAGACAAAGAAGAGAAGAAATACCGACATCTTGAAAGATCTGAACATCAAGGAAGATAGACTAATAAACGGGCTCTTATCTTGGAAGATATCTCAAGCCTCATGGCGGACTGGAAAAATTAATAGCAGAAGTAACTGTACCAGGAAGGAAGGGCAGGGGCCGACCAACATGAAGATGGGTACAGGTTTTAAAGGACTTCTTGAATATGAAAGTACATGAGGGGGAAGAGCTGGTGAGAGACCGAGTTTCTTTCAGGCAGCAAAATTCTGCAAAGGACCTGCTGCATGATGATGATAGCACATGTCATTAGCCTCTTTCAGATATGGATCAGGCAAAAGGGTTTGCTGGTAACAAAGCAGAGATGCAGTTGAACTATGCTAACACATGGCGTCCCCCTTGTTGGACGCAATTTTTCGTTATTTGAAGCCCACCCTGGCTTTTGCTGGGCCACAGTTGTGGCCGTAACGGCTGAAAAGGGTTTCTGGGACCTCTCTACGGGTGATCCTCTTCTGCATTGTGACAATGTGTGTCATCCGGTGTTTATCGCTTGTGTGATGTCCTGGCGGGGTACAACAAGCAAGCAGTTGAACTATGGAAGTGATCCAAGCCGATAATATATGACTGATGTCACATACGTGTTAATCCACCCATTAGAGACACTACTCTCTATGTGGATCCCAGGACCTTATTTTTGGGGGGCAAATTAAAAGCTTGACCCACTAGGATGTCACAAAAGGTGAATGTTTTCAGACTTTGCTGACAATCAGATGTATTAGGCTGAAAGGCACAGATATTGCAGTCTAGTTGTAAATGACAACACAACTTGCCCACTATCTATTTAAGGGTGAATTAGTAATAATAATAATAATAACAATAATGATAATAATAATAATAAGAAAAAGAAGAAGAAGAAGATGTAAGAGGAGGAGAAGAATGAGGAGGAGGCGAAAATGAAGGGATAGTGTTAAATTAATCATTGCCAGTTTACTAATAAGAAAAAGTGGATTGCTCTTTAAGTTGTTGTTAGTGTAATAAAGACGACTATAAGTCAGCTTCAAATGAAAACCTTAAGTGTGACAGAAATTACACTAACCATGCCACCATCTTGTAACCTGTCAATATTGTAGTTAAAGATGACATAAAGGTGAAGACAAACATGGTGATGTCATAACGACAGTTTAAAGAATGTCGCCCCAGTTTTGATATGCACCAAAGAGTAGCCGTGTTATTTTATCCATTTTGTTTATTAGCGAAGGTGTGCGGACCCAATAGAAATCAATCAGTGAATGTAGGTCCAATATGGTGATGCTGCCTGTCAGTCCGGCAGGAAGTGTCAAAAAGACGTGACCTCTGAAACAGATTGTCGCTCCTCTTTGGTGCATGTCAAAAGTGGGGAGGCGCGATGTGGGGGGAGATCTTCAAACTGTCCTTACATTATGATGTCACCATGTTTATCTGCTTCATAATGTCACATATTTTACATTCTGGACATTCCTATATTGACAGGTTACAAGACAAAGACATGATTATTCTAATTTATATCACACTTTTCAGTTTTTTTAAAATTTTAAACCCTTTGGTAGTTTGTCTTGTGCACCGTGGCCGCATTTTTTTAACTCCTAAGATTCAAAGATTGTAATTCTAATGTACACACAGTTTGGGATAGTCAACATTTATGTAACATCTGTCTGCAGCCAAAGAGTTAACATTTTATTTCACAGGGAATTCAAACAAATGATCACCAGGCCAGCATAAAAGTGGATTTTGCCTGTAGCAGTGTGAAGATCTTGCTACTTTCACCACAAGTCACCTGGTATCTGCCCACTTGTTTGACTGAAAGAGTTGTGAGAATTTTCACAATTCCAAGAAACTAAGGTTTTAGGAGAGCTGTGGAGGATTTGTTAGCAGATCACTTTTCATAAGTGTTGACAACAATATGACTTGTCATACTATTCAGAAAGCAGTGGCAAACTACTGACACTAAAATTGTCTAGTAAAATCACACTGCAGCTAATAAAAGCTGGGGTTCCTTTGTGACATCCTGAAGGAAAGAATGTTCAATGTTGAGTGTTGAAATAAGAATCAACATGACAGCACTTGGAACTCTCTCATAAGTGCTCCATTCCTATCTTCAGCAGACACAGAGTTCCAGTTTTGATGGTACCAGTAACAGTGGGAGTGTATAACTTTCTTACCTTTCCCATGAGTACTGAGCATCAGCCAGATCCTCTTGTCACTCCTTACAGCACCATTCTCCCCAGGCTATGATGATCTGCTTGAGCCTTAGCACTTTTAACCAACTCCCAAAGGAGCCTTACAAAATCTAGCTTGTCATGCATCAGTTCACCACTTTGTGGTGCAGAACCAGCCAGTTCATCTGCCTGTTCTTTTTCTAACACACGGGCATGACCTGAGGAAAATATCAAAAGTCTGTAAAAAGACACAAAGCTAACGTTTAAAAAAAGAAACCATGTTTCTAGTTTTTAAGTTGTATTAAGTTCTTTTTTGTCAAATTTCTACGCCAGGTGAAAGAAGACATTGTCAACTATACCAAGTTCAAGTGGCCGATGCTGTTCTCCAGGTTCTATGAAGCACGGAGATTATCGGGAGCTTTCCTGCCAAAGAATAATATTGTCATTGCTGTGAACTGGACTGGCGTGTATTTAGTTGATGACCAAGAACAGGTGTTGCTGGAGTTATCTTTTCCTGAAATTAAGAGTGTGACAAGTAGTAGGTAGGTTGCCTTATTTGAGAGTAAGAATGGGCAAAAGTAGTGGGGTCTTTTCCTGAGAACAAGAATACAGGCAAAAGCAGTGGGGTCTTTTATAAATAAGAGTAAACAAAAGCAGTGGGGTCTTTTCTAAAAAAAGAGTAAACAAAAGTAGTGGGGTCTTTTCCCGAGAACACGAATACAGGCAAAAGCAGTGGGGTCTTTTCTAAAAAAGAGTAAACAAAAGCAGTCGGGTCTTTTCTTGATAGAAGCAACAGTGTCTCTTCCAGATAAGTAAATGGAGACAGTGGGTCTTTTCTAGATAAGAGTAGGCAGAAAAACACAACTACCCAAGTCTCCAGATTTTTTTCTTCTACTTCTCTTCTTCAAGTTTTTAAGGTATAGATTCAACGAATTATAATGATGCATTTGAAGAAAAAAATCCTTTTTTTTTTAATGGGCGAAGGAGTAAATGGATTTTTCCTAAATGTTCTCATAATTTACTTCATTAAGGAACCTGCAGTGTAAAACACATTTCAGTTTTTATTTTTGTTTCTGTATGTAAACTATAAGTTGGGGTTGCATAGAGTTAGTGAACTTACTTAGCATGCTAGTGATCAGAGTTCAATCCCCAGCAGAGCAAAATGTAAAACTAATTTCTCACTGTATTACTTCTTTACTATAAAACGTTGATAAGACCAGTCGTTTTATGTGGCTTTGAAACTTGGAGCACAACTAAAAGAGATGAAGCCTTACTACAGGTTTACAAAAACAGAGTCTTAAAATGATTCTTTGGACCCATCAAAGATGCAAACAGTGGTGAATGGAGATTGAGAAGCAACAGCGAAATTCATAATCTGTTTAAATCACCATTGATCACTGGCATCATGAGAGGGAATAGACTGAAATAGTTGGGACATATTGAAAGGAGAGTCAGATGACAGAGAAGTAGAAAAAATGTATACACGAGAGAGATAAATGGTTGTAGACCACGAGGCAGACCAAGAAGATGATGGAGAGATAATATCCAGACAGACCTGCAAACTCTTGGTGTCACCAACTGGAAAGAGAAGGCCAACCAGAGAGATGAATGGAGGCAGGTGATACTTGCAGCAATGAACCTCAAGGGCTCTTAATGCTGAAAAAGAAGAAGAATTACTTCTTTAGTAATTCCCTACAGAACTAATTCCACTTATTATTTTTCATAAATGACATTGACAGATCCAGCAAGGTTCATGGTCTCAGCTTAACTCTGACAACAGTCAAGGAAGATGAGTATATATTCACTTCTGCCAATGCCAAAGATATTCAAGACTTGGTGACCACATTCCTGGAAGGCTTGAAGAAGAGATCAAAGTATGTCATTGCTGTCCAGGATTACAAGCCACCAGGTATGCAATAAATGGTTCTCATCTATTTGACTTATTCATTTAAAGAATGTTAAAATGAATAGAGAAGGGAACAGAGTTCTTCTTCTCCTCATTCTTCTCTAGTCCTGTATTGCTTATCAGCATCAGGTTTTGAAGAGGCTTTGTTTGAGAGGGTTCGTATGAGCTATGTATATGCTGGTATTTACAGTTTCCAACCTTGCATCACGTGTGTGGTCGAACTTTAACTCTGCTTCCTGTATGTCTAAGTGACAGGGCTCTATGTGGTGCACTGTCTGGTGGTAATCTTAACCTGTGTCCAAACCATTTGATCCAAGAAATATCCAGATGTCAATTATTGATTCATTCCTTCATGCCCAAGCCAGATACATCACATTAGTTTTCAACAAATTACTGCTAGCAAACAAGCTCTTGATGTCCTGAATGCGCATGTGTGTGTGTGTGTGTGTGTGTGTGTGTGTGTGTGTGCATGCAGGGGAGTGGGTTGGGAGGAGGGGGGTAGGTGTGTGTGTGTGTGTGGTATGTATGTATGGTATGTGTGTATGGTGTGTGTGTTTTTGTGTGTAGTGAGTGTGTGTGCGTAGTGTGTGTTTTGTGTGGCGTGTGGTGTGTGTGAGGTTTGTGTGTGTGGTGTGTGTTTGCGGTGTGTGTGTGGTGTGGGGTGTATGAGCATGGTGTGTGCATGGTGTATGTGTGTGTGGTGTGTGTGTGTGTGTGTGTTTTGAATACAAACATTTGTTTTTGTAATTTGCATACAGGTTAGTTAGTTGCATATCCTTTACAGGACGTTGCCCCTGGCTGTTGTGTGGTTTTTCTAGGCAAATTTACATCCAGTAGTTTCATTCCCATACAGTATCCACATATTTTCTCTGAGACATGAGTATTAACATGCCTAAATCCACTGCTCAGCTTCTGCGATCCAGCTCTCACACACATTTTACAAAAATGCTACAAGTGACTTGTGTAGTTTGATTTACACAGGAAAGTTAATGTTGCATTTCCACAAAGAACTCAGTCATGACAAATGAAGCCAGACTTGTATTTATTAATCCCTAATTTCTCTAACTGAACTACCATTTAGCATACAGCAGACCATAGGTTTTTAAAGATTTTAATTTTTTTTTTTTTTTTTAGCAATAGTATGATTTTAATAACATGTCATGTTAAAGCATGGTATAATGTGACATGACATAATGCAACTTAACATAATTAAAGTATAATATAGTATAGTATAGCATATCATAGCATAGTATAGTATAGTATAGTATAGTATAGTATAGTATAGTATAGTATAGTATAGTATAGTATAGTATAGTATAGTATAGTATAGTATAGTATAGTATAGTATAGTATAGTATAGTATAGTATAGTATAGTATAGTATAGTATAGTATAGTATAGTATAGTATGGTATGGTATGGTATGGTATGGTATGGTATGGTATGGTATGGTATAGTATAGTATAATTTGATATAATTTAATATAATGTGATTTGATGTAGTATGGTATTGCGTAATGTAGGATAGAATAGTATAGTAAAATATGGTATAATATAACATAGCATTGCAAAACCATAAGATAATAAAACAGTAGAATTTAGAATAGCATAACACAATAAATACAATACAATATATTAAATTCACCCTCAGTTTGTCCGTGTGGGTATATGTGCATGAAATGATATCCTCCATATTGTACTTACAGATAAAACATCCTTTCTGGCGCTCAAGAAAGGTGACTTGATTGTTATTGATTCCACCAGCAGTGGTGAGACTGTCTTGACCTCCGGATGGTGCAGTGGGGAGAACACCAGCACCAAGAAGAAAGGGGATTTTCCAACAGAATGTGTCTATGTGCTGCCAACTATCATCAAACCTTCAGAGGAGATCCTGGTAAGTGGCCAAGGTTAATTTAGGAACATTTAATTCGAGTTATATATCGATTAAAAGGAATTAATGTTGGAAGCATGAATAGGACATTACAAAAAATGTGATACAATTAGGCAGATGTTTATGTGACAGTTTTGGAAAATTAAATTAGGGTCACTCGTCTTCACATTCACCAACTGTAAATTCCAGCAGAAAGTTCTGGCTGTTTTTCCACCTCTGGACTTCAGTCTCATTCCAGTATTGGAATTTCACATACACATCCATTTTACAGATCTGGCTTATTTGTGTGTAGACAGTTCCTTGCCTCTCAGGCAAATGCACTCAGATTAAAAAAAAAAAACCTAATTAGTTAACTCTCACAACATGCTTGTTAGGGAGGCAAGGGGGACCATTCTTGTTTTCTCCAGCAATAGGACCCTAGAACATGTGTAGGATATCAGAATCATTGATCAATTAAAAGAAATTCTTGTCAGAAGAATGAACAAGGCATAGACAAAAGACTCAGAGAAACAATTAACTGGTGTTTATGTTACAGTTTTGGAAAATGTAATTAACATCAATGATCATTTGAAAGGAATTCACATCAGAAGAATTAACAGGGCATACAAACACACACACACACACAAACAATGAAAAACAATTAGACGGATGTTTGTGTCACAATATTGAACAAGTGAATTATGGTCAGTGATCAAATGAAAGGAATTCATGTCAGAATATTGTGACAATATGGGGCAATTTAATTATGGTCAGTGATTAAATGAAAGGAAATAATGTCATACGCATAAATAGAGCATACACAAAAATAAAACCGAGAAACGATTAGACATATGTTTATGTGACAACCGCCTCTAAACAAAAAATGTAACAGTAGTCCCATAGCAGATTCTGACATTTAGATGTCAAATAACAGACTTTTACATATTCTAGTTCATGCTATAGGCTGTTATGCCAGGATAGCAGTCTGTTTATGTTTTTTTTTTTGTTTTTTTTTAAACATAATGGAGTGATTTGCATTTCTTGTTTCTGGAACAAAATCTACATCATTGATCTCAGCCTCGTTTCCATTATCTTGGCAGACATTTTGCCAGCATGACTTGAAAGCAACATGCCTGGGTATTGACTGCATTCTGGCTTGCTTCCTTTGTTTTTCCACAATGGTATGACTGTTGGATGTTGCCAGTCTACAGGAGCAGTTTGTTTTACCGATGCTGCATAAAATATTATGTGAAGCTATCTAGTTAGTTAGTTAGTCGACAGACTATCCTCATTGCACATCAAACTGTTCAGTCCATAAGTGCTCGGATCCCCTCCTTAGCAAATCCCACAGCCTGTAGTGGCTCACGACACCAGTTCTGTGTAAGTTTCCTATTCTTCTTTGACTTCCTGCATAGTGCTTTTATCTGGCCACACCCCTTTCAACATGTTGTTCTTGCAGTTTGGTCATTGTTGTTATCACTTGTTTCTCACAAATATCTTACTTCTCGTAGAGAATTCAGAATATCAGAATGGTTTATGGCTCGTCCGCCTTCCACAGTAGCTTTACCTGCAAGCCAACCCACTTTCTCATTTCCTTGTCCGCCTGTGTGCCCTGGCACAAATACAGGCTCAGTATAACATTTAAATACTTGTTTTTTTTTAAATTAAGTAGACAAATAGCATAAATAAATTTTATCTATTTCAGAAAATGTTTCTTCAGCCAAGTACCGCCTCAAGGCAGAAATCACAGACTGAATCCACTCTTTATCGTGACCCAAATTTGGTACTGCACACTCTGGAGCAGTACTCATATGACCATTTTAGGTGGGATTTTATTTGTTACAACAGGGGTTAGTAGACTTACTTACAAAACCAATTCACCAAAAAAGAGGGAAGGACTGGCCAGCTTACTATGCAAAAAAGTAAATGATATGTAATAAAATTAACATTATGACTAGAAAACCTCATCATAATTCAACATAATTTGTTAAGAAAGTTAACAAGAAATGAGTAAAGGATGTTTGAAAGTGAAATAATCAACTTTTTTCTACTAATTTTTTTATCTTGTGCAGCTTATTCTCTCTCTCTCTCTCTCTCTCAATCTCTCTCTCTCTCAATCTCTCTCTCTCTCAATCTCTCTCTCTCTCAATCTCTCTCTCTCTCTCTCAATCTCTCTCTCTCTCTTTCTCTCTCAATCTCTCTCTCTCTATCTCAATCTCTCTCTCAATCTCTCTCTCTCTCTCTTAATCTCTCTCTCTCTCAATCTCTCTCTCTTAATCTCTCTCTCTCTCTCTCTCTCTCTCTCTCTCTCTCTCTCTCTCTCCATCGCTGCAGAATGGTTGATTTCCCCTTGAGAGCCTTGCACAAAGCAACAACAACAAACAAACCAAATTCCATAAGAAGTAGTATTTTTTCAAAAGTATCCTGTTAAACCCTCAGGGTTATAATTGGGATTTTTAGTGTTAATTGAGTTCTCAGAGTATATATGTATATTTGTCTGTTATTTAAAATTTATATATCGTGTAATTATTTATATGATCAAACTGTAATTTGTATTGTTTCACATTTTGCTTTGATTTGGTTATGATTATGATAGAAATTATACTATAAAAAGACAATCTAACTAACATGGTGTCTTTAACATGGTGGATATATTGTTTCCTTAGTGTGCAATCACTGATTATTCTCCTCAATTTTATCTTTAGGGGAAACTTCTTCAAAGTTGCCATGGGCATTCTTTACCCTTCTAAATACTGATTTTAGTCCCAGTAATAAATTGCTTGACCTTGCTACGCTGCTCTCTGGGGCTGTTTTATGTGCAGCAAATTTTCCATCGTCATAGGTAATTGAAGATAAACTCCATAGCTCTAGGTCGGCTATGTGGCTAAGTCTATGCGAACGCTTTGTAATGCTGGGATGCGGGATTCGATCAAAGCTGCAGGCCATGCGCCTTGCGTTGGTTTCGTCAGTGGTATCCAGAGAGCCAACCGCCCAGAAAGCAATGACAAACTACTGGACGTAAATTTTCCTAGAAAAACCACACAACAGCCAGGGGCTGCTGGGGTTTGTTCTGCAACACAACTAACCTAACCATAACTCTAGTGATGATCCCCTCAGGCAGGGCTGTTCAACTGGTGGCCTGTGGGCTAAATTTGATCTGATGAGACCTAGCTAGTAACCTGCAGTACATTGCCAGTTGTATTGTATCAACTCTTTCAGTCCCAAGGAATACATCACATGTTCATATGTTCCTGTCAGTGAACGCAAGGTGCTTTGATTTTGTGTCTTTTTAAACAACCCTTTGAGCCTCCAATGCTAAATCCCCTGGGACTGAAAGAGTTAATGATCTTTCTGTGCCGGGGCTCAGACCCCTGGTCTGTGATTCCCTATTTCAAAAGTATTGGCCCCTGAGTAAATTTAGTTGAACAGCCCGGCCCTAGGGACTTTCAGAACATAAAATCTGTTTATGAACATGATTTTTTAAAAGTCCCAAACAGTGCACCATGTTGGAATGGATTTACTTATATCTAACAGCTAACATATTATTATGCTTGTACATTTTATGTTTAGTTTAAAAAAACCAGCACATTTGTCTCCCACAAGGGATGTGCACTTGGGTCCTGTGGATGTAGTATACCAATTATTTTGTTGATTTCACAATGTGACTCAGCGGGGAAAAAAACTAAAGAACTAGGCAGCTACCAACCAAGAAAGGACATCTGGATTAATGTGGCAACATATGGTCTATACCAAGGGTTCCAAGCAGAATAGACACCGCTGCAATGGCAGTTGATCTAGAGCAGTGATTCTCAACCTTTTGGGTTGCCTAAGGCCATTAGAAAACACATATTCATTGAAGTTATGAAGTAGCAACAAAAAGCACCAACATGGTACAATAGAATTGTCAAAATAGACGTCACCCAAGATCACAGTAAACGGAGGAAGTGACCAAAAGGGTAAACAAACTAAAATATATAGGAGCTACATTTGACAGAGGATTGTCTTTCCAAGACCACATTGATGCAGTCATTTTAATAGTGAAGAGAGGCCTGAAGGTTATGGTTTTTTACAGATGTAGAACAAGGGATGGATACAAACTCAGTATCTTGTTATGTCAGTTACTGGATATGGTAGAGGGAAGCTAGCCGTGTCAAAGACTCAATTGAAGAAATTAGAAGACATTTAGAATGATGCTATGCTAAGCATTCTGGGATGCAGAAGGGAAACATCAGTTGTGTGTATGAGACTTCTTGGCTATGCTAGCCAATGCTTATAACAATTATATACTGCAATCCAGGTACTATCTTAGAGTTGCAAGCGACACAGTACATATTCTTCAAAGGAAATTAGACACAGTGAAGGGTGACAGACTTAAGAAGGACTGATCCTGGATGGCTTAGGCTAAAAAGACAATCAATTGTGTCTGCAACATTACAGAGATTAGTCGAGGAGAAGAATGAGTTGCCTGGTATGCTGTGATGTTGTGGAGTCTCAAGATATCACTGACTCCTTCAATCCATCTTCTTCTTGGTTGTCCCCTACATCTGGATGGTTCCACTTTCCTGTTGTATGTTCTCACTGCTGGTATCATTGTATTCATTCTTATTAAATGGCTAAACCATTTCGGTCTTTGTTTTTGAATGAATATAATTATAGGGGTTGTTTGCATAGTTCTTGTAATTTCTTAGATATAAATTAAATGTAATCACTATGTATATAAACATATATATATATATAAAGGTCCCTTTTCCACACCTTTAGGTGTATTGGGAATATAGGGCAAGACATATATTTTTATAGACCAATCAGCACTTGGTGGGTGATGTCAGCATCATGGTGGCTGTCTTTACTTTCCAGGACTGCATATATATATATATATATATGTCACAGTGTGGGGGGTGTGTACATTTTAAAGAGGGGATAGAAGAAGAAGAGAAGATATAAAAGTATAGAGAGAGACAGACGAGAAGAAATAATAGTTAAAGGATGTATAAGAGGACAATAGGTTCTCCTGTGTGGAGAGTGTAGTAATAAGTCTACACCCCAAACGATCAGGTAATAGTCAGTGGAGGTCTTATGAAGGAGAGAGTAGATATAGAGTGGAGTGGCGGTGGTATAAAGACTACAGAGACTAACAATATTAGTACCACTCCTATACTCAACAAACTAACGATGGAATAAAAGAATAACAACTAACAATCATGTTTATTAAGAAACAGCATTACAAAGTCGTCTATCTCATGTTACACAACCGACAGATGTTATATTATGTTATAAACAGAACGTCCTCACGCTATAAAACTCAGCAACTGACAGCAGAATCCACTCAACGATAAACTAGCAAATGACGCCTAGAGTATCCTTCATTGCTCCACAAATAATAAGCCAAATAACAACTACAATCTAGCCATCTACTCTAATGCCAAATACCGACTACCATCTAGCCATACTGCTGATTGCAGTCTAGATACCATCTAACTATAGCTGATTGCAGTCCAAAGACCAGCTAGCCTATTTAGCCAACCCGACACACCATGACAGAAACTGCCATGTCACATAACATGAAGCAATATTTCGTGCATTATCTGGCAAGTCACAAAACAGAAGTATGGACTTAGCTCCATCGTAGCGACATGATCAGAATGCCCACAGCATCCTTCGTTGGCGGAGATCTCAGTGCAAGTGTCTCTGTCAGGGCTCACAGTAGTGTATTTATCCCTGATGCTACCTCTCTCCTTTGTCCTGAGTTCATGAACCTGTGTCTTCTTAGGTCCATTAACCTTTCTCTTTCCCGCCAAAGATGGTTTTCCAGGCCACTTTGCATATTTGGATGGAAAATCCCCAGGAAATCTTGTGTCGTTGCCTTTGTTCGTTGCCCTGCCTCTGTTAATTTACGAGTATATTGGCCTGCAACAGTTCATGAACAAGCTTGGCACGCACCCACGTCTTTGTCCACTCTTGAGTCAATGCCCTCAGGGTTGTTAGACTAGCGACCCTCTTTATCTCAAGCGACTCTATACCTCCTTATTCCTCCGTGTGTTTCTTTCTTTCTATTTCCTTCTTGTAAAAAAAACGTGACTGTAATCAGTACTGTCACATTCCGGCCCCCTAACGAAGAATCAGTGCCACTCTGATTCCTAAAGAACCTGACCCTCCAGCCAGGGATTGATTTCCCTCGCCTCTTATCAATAGACACCTTCCTATGTCTATAATCTCTCTGCTCGCCTCTCAGTGAGACCATCAGCAAAGAGCATCACATAATTACATTATTAACAAATGTCTAAATTATGAATTCAACAAAAACAATAGATTCTCCTTGAGAAAATAAGTAAACAAATTCTCCTGTGTGCTTGATGTGCAACTGTAGGATCCAAGTCACCACCTGTTACAGTACATTTAACAAACTGCACAAATACAACACCATCATAACAACAAATGTCACAAACACATTTCTACAAACTCATAAAAAACGGCAACACATGTTTCGCGACAAAAGACAGAACACCTGTCCAAATCGTCTTTGCCCACTGGACATTCCGTAGCGGGACGCTAGTCATCACTTCCTCTGTGCTTGTCGCCTGTTCTGACGAACCAAAACATCCAGACAACAACACGCGTAACAAATACAGCTCTGAGTACAAAACTCATCAACAGAAACAATTGTTTCACCACACAACATATAATCAGCCGTCTTCTGTTGGACTGGACCTGTTGCTGCAGGATCTTTACATCACCTGTAACAAACTCTGAATACTACCACATTATATTCATACCAAATGTTACTGCACCATGTGACCAGCGGATTTCTTTGTGTCCACTATTAACTGGGTCAACAGTTCACAAGACATGTCCTCAACTCTTTCTCTCTGGCTATGAGGCGCAATTTCTTATGTTCCTTGCTGGTCAATACGTATTGTGGTCTTGTAGCATTTGGAAGGCGCAGGACAACATACACATCATCAGACCAATAATCATTCATGTCCCCCTCTTCTGGTTCGAGTTTCAACTGTACTTTCTCGCCTATTTTGAATCTGGAATAACTTTCAACAGTCTCTGTAGTCAACTGCACTTCACTAGGTAACGCGGCGCAGGACTGGTTCAAACTGGCAGAATTTTCATCGTGCTGAGTTTTGCTCGGCAACTGTTCAGTGCTAGATACACCAGCGGAAAGCTGATTTATAGCTGTCGAATTGTCACTGCTCTGTTTTTGAGCAGGAGAACCTTGACTGGAAGACACACACTGTCTTCTTTTCCTGCCACGCCTCCTCCTTTTTGACCTCATTTCACCTTCTCTGCGAATCTGTCTATAATCGGGTTTCTCGACTGAATTCGCACTGGCAGGGTCTTTCAACCCTGCAGATAGTACAACTGGGCATGAGCCCTGTGGCCTCTTACGCCACGCTTGCTCAGTTTCGTTGTTCTTGCTGTAGTTAGACGCTTCTCGTCTCTGCACGTTAATACGGCGCCGAACATCGCCGACAGTTGTTCTCTGTCGACAGGCACTCATTAGATGTGATGATGACTGGCAAAGGAAACATCGTTTACGCTGTACAGGGGGCTGTAACAAAGCTGCTACTCGTTGTTTCAATTGCTTCACTTCCTCCCTCAAAACCGACATTTCACACTTCTCAGTCGACGACACTGTAGAACTCACAACATTCACCTGCATCACTGACTCGTTAGTCGAAACCACATTGTTAGAAAAGAAATCTTCATCACCCAGCCATCTGATAGCAAAATTTCTGATGGACAGAAAAGTCACACTAGGATCTTGGTGAATTCTCTCCAATGCTAACTTTCTGCAAATCGTGTCTCTCAGTTGTACGACGAATTGATCTCTCAAGATCGACGTATCCCATGGGGACATTTTCACTTTCTTTTGCGCACTGATAATCGCTTGAAACGCTTCATGAATACGATGAGAAAAACTACGGAGACTCTCATTCTCACCGTGCCGTAGGGCGAAAAATGCAGACGCTAGCTCCACAACACTTCGACGCTCACCATAAACTTGCTGTATGACATCTAGCATATCGTTTGCATTCTCTGCTTGATGCAACTTCAGCTCTTGCCTGACGCTCAATGTGACATGATCAAGCACCAGGTCAATCTGATCTGCCGGAGTCATCCGTTCATTTCTGAACACGGACTTGACTCGACGAACGAATTCATCTGTGACCGTGGGATCTGATGTCCCCTCAAAGTGCGCTATGTTTACGCGCTCTGGCAACATAACGATGTGCGTACACCCTGGTCTGTTTGACAAACAGGATCCTCCCACCGCCGAGGTCAGGGAACTGCCTTCATGGTGCATGTTACTGCTCACACGAGTGCTCTCGTCCATCTTGCTTAGGAGGTTCAACTGAATTTTTCGCACCGGGTTGGCTTGCTAATTCTAAATCCAAACGTCACACCTCAAAGAGATCTACTGGCTACTTCTCTACCAGCAACTGGAAATAATACATTCACTAAACAACTCTGTTTAAGAACGTAAATGATAGAACAACTCCTAACTGATGGAATTCAAACCTAAAAAAACGTGACTGTAATCAGTACTGTCACATATATATATATTCTCAAATCAACATCAACTAAGTTTGTTCTGTAACTTACATTGCTTTTTTCTCCACATTCAGGCCTCCACCAAAACAAACACACAGTGGCACTCTGAACCGCCCACTTCAAAGACAAAGTGAGCAGTTATGGAGGCATTCAAGAGAGCCCTTGAAACAACCACTGCTGAAGAAACTAATTGGGAATGACCAGCTAAGTGCTGAAGCCTGCAAATGTTTTTTGAATATCTTTCTATTATTCAGTTTCATTAATGTGGTATTATAACATAATTATCAGTTGTATTTGAAGAAAACACGGGAGCCACTTTAGCATAATGGCTAGATGATTCAAAGTCAAAAGTTCAAGTCTGCATGTGAGGCAGATGTTTTCAGAATTGACCTTGACCTCCAGGTCAGCCTAGCTTAAAATTGGTACCAGGTAATGTCCTGGGAAATAAAGGTGGCTGACATCATGCAGACCACACTACCTATTAAGTACTGCTTGGTCTATACAAATATAGGTTTAGCACTTTATGCCTGATCTGTCAATGAGGTCCTTTACTTACTTCACAACCACCCATAAAAAAATGTCTTAGATTATAGACATCAGAATGAGACAGTTATCATTTTTTGGTTGTGTTATGAGAAGAGGGAAAATGGAACATGTTGTGACCACTGGAAAGATCTGTGAAAGGAGTGATAGAGGAAGACAATGAGAGAAGATTCTTGACAGTCTTGTTGCATGGCATGGAGGTGTGTCAAGACATGAACTGATACATGCTGCAGGAGCTCGCAGGTTGTGGAGAAGCATGATCGCTCACGCCAGTCGCAAGGCACCTGATGCTGATGAGATTAAAGCAAAAATCAGCAGATCAAATGTGTATGAAAGTGAAAAGTACTTTTTTTTTTCAGGTTAGTTGTATATCCCTTACAGGACGTTGCAGAACCAACCCCAGCAATTTTGGCTGCTGTGGTTTTTCTATGCAAATTTATGTTGAGTAGTTTGCCATTGCTTACTAAATGGTTGGTTCTTGGTACCACTGTCAAAACCAACGCAAGACAATCTGCTGTCAAACTGCCTGCATTTGGGATTGAACCCAGCACCCCAGCATTATGAAGTGTGTTCGCAGTGCCTAGCCCACAGATGCTGACAGGTAGGGAGTATATAAATATATTCCTATTCTGATTCCTTTTGAGAAAAAAAATTAAAAGTTTGACCACTTTCAAACTGCTGCTAGCTAGCCGAAACTGCTAACAGTCTCCGTCTATATTTGTGGTCTGGTTTATTTGCATCACTTTCATGACTAAAGTTTTAGTATTCTGGCCGTCTTTGGGCTTGATGCTCCCTTCCTTCGAGTCAGACCGCTCATTCTCTGCCCAGTTGTTAGCTGTGTACTTCTTGCCTTTTCCTTCCAGGTGTTTCCTCCTTGGTTTCATCTCTCTATGATTTAGCCAGCTGTATTCCGTAGAAGAGCGAGCTTCTATACATAATGTTTTTGGACCACCATTTATAGTTTAAAAATTTTGAATATTTTACTTTGGATCCGTTTGAGTTGGTTTAGGTTGGCAGCTAGGCTGCGGTGTATGTAACTACCATATACCCAGAACACCCAGCTAAAGTGCTCTCTGTGGGATGGGGTGGGGGATTATACTCATAGTTACAAATATATGTCCTTAACACTGTTTATATATCTTGAAATACATGGGAGACCACCCAAGTCAAAAGAGTCGTGCAGTCACTGACTTAACTGACCAGATTTTCACAGCTCCACTAAACGAGGTAAGGAAACCTTTTGCAGAATTAGTATATTTTAAATCAGTATGAAATACTAAACTGACTGTGATTGAATGCTAAATGTTGAATTAGTAATTAACATTACAGCAGTCATGACCTTCTCATAGGTACACTGTCCTCATCATCAGCAACAGGCGTAGAGTTCTAATTTTGATGACACCAGTAACAGTCTGATTAAATATCTGCCTCGCCTTTCCCTTGAGTCTTGAGCACTGACTGTATATCTGCCTCGCCTTTACCTTGAGTCTTGAGCACTGACTGTATATCTGCCTCGCCTTTACCTTGAGTCTTGAGCACTGACTGTATATCTGCCTCGCCTTTACCTTGAGTCTTGAGCACTGACTGTATATCTGCCTCGCCTTTACCTTGAGTCTTGAGCATCGGCCAGATCCACTGCTCAATCCTCATAGCATCATTCTCCTCAAACAGTAAATATCTCTTTTTGCCTCCACAGTGTTCAAACTGGGATTAGAAATCTCAAGGAGCAAAAGATGTGTGTGTGTTGCAATGTTAAATCCTGGGTCTTCGTAGCATCGTTCTCCTTGAACAGTGATCATCTATATATTTTTGCCTCAACAGTGTTCAAACTGTGATTAGAAATCTCAAGGAGCAAAAGATGTGTGTGTGTTGCAATGTTACCTCCTGGGTCTTCGTAGCATCGTTCTCCTTGAACAGTGATGATCTATATATTTTTGCCTCAACTGTGTTCAAACTGTGAATAGAACTCTCAAGGAACAAAGACGTGTGTGTGTGTTTGTTGCGATTTTACCTTCTGGGCTCTCGTAGCACTGTTCTCCTCAAACAGTGATTATCTGTCTATTTGTGCCTCCACAGTGTTACAAATCTCATAGAGCAAAACTGTGCACGTGTTGCCATTTTACCCTTGGGCTACAACCTGGAGTTTTGACATCCTGGGATTACAAAATCTCACCCTGGATGGAAGACCAACAAGGCAATCCCAGATGATACCCAGTTCAACCACTGAAAAAGTTACAAATATTGCACCCATAAGAGCTACACCTAAGACTGGTGTAACCTGCAGTCCTGTGTGGGTAAGGAACTGAAGTATGGACGGAATGAAAATATGCAGACAAATACAACTTAACATTTTAACCAAAGTCTTTATCAGAAAGCAATGGCAAACTACTAAATGAAAATTTGCCTAGAAAAACCATAAAAGCTAAAAATTTGCTTGAGTTGGTTCTGCAACCTCCTTCAAAGTATACGCCACCAGCTAACTTTATCAGCTAAATACAAAATAAAAACTGACTACAAAACTTAGAGAAAAAGTCAACAGAGCTTATAATCAGTCATGGTCAAGATGGAAACATAAATAGCTAATCTGAGAAGGGCTAAATTCCAGATGAATACAAACAAGAAGGAGTCTGAAAATGATGGGAGAAATATTAAAAAGTTAAGTAAATAAATGATGACAGAGGCACCATCATCATAAGCATCTCTTATCCCTGAAACATCACTGTTATGACTCAATCATCATCATAAAGACCTCTCATTCAAGTAATCACATTAGTATGATGGCAACATCATCAATGACATCTCCCATTCAGATCAATATGACTGTCACATCCTCCTCAGCATCTGTTGCATCTGAAAAGTCATTAGTATGACTGTGAAAGCGTTACTGATATCTCTCCTCCTTGGAACATTATCAGTATCAGTATAACTATGGTGAAATTATTAGTGACATCTTTCATTCATGAAATATCATCATTATGATTGGCACATCCTCAGCAGATTTATTGTCTTTGAAACATCTTCATTATAATTGAATTATCCTTGCCTTCTCTCATCCCTAAAGCATAATCAGTATGATTGAAACCATGACTGTCATCTCTCATCCCTGAAACATCATCAGTATGACTGTGAAACCATCACTGTCATCTCTTTTCCCTGAAACATCATCCGTATGACTGACACATCATGGTCAGCATCTCTCATCATATGGTTTATATCTGTAACATCTAATATGTATCTTATTGATAAATTGCTTGTGCTATTGCTGGGCTTGTAAATTTTGTCTTCTTCTTCTTCTTCTTCTTCTTCTTCTTCTTCTTCTTCTTCTTCTTCTTCTTCTTCTTCTTCTTCTTCTTCTTCTTCTTCTTCTTCTTCTTCTGCTTCTTCTCTTCCACCTTGTATTTTAGCAAAGTGTCGGTGGGAGATGTAACATACATTGATGAGCTCTGTGAAGAATACCATTAAGACTGATGTTCATTTCTGGGTGTTATTTTGTTTGGCCACTGAACAGAATTTCTTGTATAATTGTTGCTTTATATTTATGTCCACATAATTAAATTTCTGTTGTAGTATGTTGGTAAACTGTTTTGTTTATGATGTGGGATTTTATGTGCTCAACTTTTGTATTCCTAATATTTAATTTATATCGTAATGTTGAATGTTGAATTAAAAATTGACATCACAGCACTTGAAATTTTCCCACAAGTGCTCCATCCCCCTCTTCAACAACAAGTGAAGAATTCCAATCCCAATGGCACCAAAGAGTCTGACTGTATATCCACTTTGCCTTTCGTTTGGTTGTTGAGCATCAGCTAGATCACTTGATCCCTCCGTGAGGCACTGTTCTCCTCAGTCCTTGGTGATCTATTTGTGCCTTTGCACTGTTCATTTACTCCTAAAGGATGCTTACAACATTTGTCTTGTTATGCATCAATTCACCACAAAGTGATACATTATCAACCAGTCTGTCTGTAATGTGTTGTAAAACATTTATTCACTTTTCTGTTCAGAGAGTAGAATTTCTTTTCTAAGGCATGGGTCAACCTTTATGATCACAATATAGAAAAGTCTGTTTCAAAATATTGGTCAAATCTTATTTTCTCAGGAAAGTTTGAGAGACGAGGTGTACTGTCAGCTCATGAAACAGTTAACTAACAACAAAAACAGGTATGAAGTACATCATCACCATCATGTGCCGTGTTGTACTAGGTACTGGGGTCTGATTTTGAGGCCGATAGTTAAGTTTTTTTTTTTAAATTTAAAGAGGGGAGGGCGGGCGGGGGGGGGGGGGGGGGGGGGGGGGGGGGGGGGGGGCGGGGGGGGAGGGAGGGCGGGGGGGGGGGGGGGGGGCTTCTTATAGCTTTCAGACAGTAGTATGACAGATGGACTGTGGAAGATATTGAGGCTTCACCAGATAATATTCCCAAAGACAGCAGTAAGTGCACTGCCGCCATCCTTCAGTGCTGTGATGGCACAGATTTTGTTTCTCCCTTAATTTAATTAACTCTTTGAGTCCCAGGGGGTTTGGCATCACAGGCCCAAGGGGTAGTCAGGAGAGACGTAAAATCGGTGCATCATGCGTTTATTGGATCTCTAGGAAGTAATCTATAAACGTATGATGCGTTCCTTGGGACTCAAAAAGTTAAGAACGCCCTCAAAGAAATGACGATTAACTCTGCTTTGCATTAGAAAGGACACATCTTACTTCCCCTTACCTCAGTGAGAAAACTGGAATTTAAAAGCCAACACAGAACTGGTATCGTCAGCCTCTGCATGCTGCTGGATTTACTAAGGAGGGGATCTGAGCATTTATGTACTGAATGGTTCTATGTGCTGTGGGAATATTCTGTCAATTAACTAACCAAATAGTTAACTGGAAAAGAAAAAAAACTTACATTAACCCACACTGCTGCAATTGATTCTTAACGTTCCTTATTCAAAAGGTATATTATCCTGCTGTATGTGTACATCATCCATTCCCCCCTCTTTTTTTTTAAACACCTTATTTATTCCATTTCATAATATAGCCCCAAATTTTCAATCCATTTTATATTTTGTATTATTTTATGATGTATTTTATATGGTTTCGTGCTGTCCTTGGTTGTTTAGAAGCTCTGTTGTCTTGTCCGTTAAGTTTTTCAGTCACTGTTTGTGTTGTATTTAGTACTCTGTTGATAAAGACTTTGGTTGAAACATCTGGTTGTGTTTGTGTGCGTCTTCTAATTTTCTCACATTAAGCTTTCTAGTCATTTTTTATGTTCTGTAGCATTTATTATCCAAATAACATTAAGTGTGTTATTTATTGTTTTAAAGAAACAAGTACTTCATATAGAGAAGTAGCTACTGTCTGAGACTGAAAGATTTAAAGAAATAATTGTTTGCCATCTGCCCTATAGGAATGAGGTTCTCTCAATTACATAATCACCTATGCTTTAATACATAAATCTCATTTACCATTTATTAATTGCAGACTCATTTTTAGACTTTATACTTCAGTCATTCACTTGGACTGTCCCAGTTACATGTTTATTAATATGTATGGAGGAATCTGTGTGTATTTATTTATGTTTATTTTAAGTATTTTATGTGTATGTTTACATTATCTATTCCTTTGTGTGTGTGTATGTATGTATGTATGTGTGTGCGTGCGCGTGCATGCATGCGTGTATGCATCTTCTTAAAGTTCCTGCTGTGTGGCATTGGTATCCACAACCTTCTGTCTTGTGTACTTTCAATCAACTCTGGTACGGATGATCCTCTATGACATTATGTAAGTAGATGTAGTCGGACAAGGTAAACCTTACCAACAGGAGATGTAAGGAGGCGCCTCCTTCCCTTCAGTAGCCTGCGGGATACCTCATGGAAAGAGGTAGAGTATCCACTTAGTTCCCCCCCCCCCCCCCCCATATAATATCATAACTATGGTGCAAAGAAGCACAACAGAATTGTGTCATGCAGATGAACAGTAAAGAAGAAGAAGAAAAGGATACACAGTTTTAAGTTAGAAAGTTAGCAGTTTCTTAGAATGTAACTAATTGTGAGAAATCTGACATTGAAACAAATGTGTACTAATTGTAAGAAATCTGACATTGAAACCAATGTGTTCCAGCGTGAGTGAAGAGAGAGGTTGGGAGTTGCTGTGGCTGGCTTCAGGTTTATTTACTCCAAGTGCACACCTTCAGAAAGAGCTGACTGCCTTCTTACAAACACGGGCACCCTTCAACAACATT